AATCTTTTTTAAATCTGTTTTGATTGGATTGCTTTGTACTGCTTTCTTAAAATGACTCCAAAGTGGATCTTACACAGTGTATTTCCTCTGGCTTACCAAAAGGGACACTACTTTTTTATGAAATAGAAAGTTATCATAGTGATAATGTTCATTGTCTGTCAATACTGCTATTATGAAAAATCAGTATTGTCACTGCAATATCTGTACAGTACTGTGCAGAAGTCAGAGACCATCCCTTCATTTATTTAAGTTACAATAAAACCAACCATTAAGTACAAGTTATTTTTTAATGCCAGAAAACAGCAGAAAACCCATAACTGAAAATTACAGTAAAACCTAAATATAATAAATAGAACAAAAATTAATATTAATTTTTTTCAGTATTTTGTGTGTCCACTCTTTGCCTTTATTACACCTTTCATTCTTTTTGGGAGGTTTGCTTTTAGTTTTTCTGAGAAATCTGCAGGGATATTTTTCCACACATGCAAGTTCAGTCATAAAAGTTCACATTTTCTGGTTTTCACAGTCCAAGTAAACTCATATGATGTTCAGGTCTGAACTCTGGGGTGATAACAGCTTCTTCACAGCTACACATCCTTTCAGACCCATAGCATTAAGTTGCCTTCTCACAGTGGACGGATGGTCAGAAACACCTGTGGATTTTTTTTAGATCTAGAGCAAGAGTGGAGCTTGATTTTCTACTATTTCTTAAAGATGAGAGCTTTAAGCACCATTTATCTGATGGTGACACTTTTGGTTGTCTTGCATGGTTGTTAGGAGTTAGAAGTTTCTATATCTTTTAATAAAAAAGTTTTTTTATTAAAGTTTTCTCTATATTTTTCCAGTTTTGTTTTCCATTGTTGTTCCCCTACCTTGTGCAAGTGAATTATCGTATTATCTAATCATTTTGGAAATATCTCCTGACAAATTGATAATCTGTACTTAATGATCAAGTCCAAGTAGACTAGAAATGTAGTAAATGAAGGGTGATCTCTGACTTTTGGTACAGACAATATATCGCCCAGGACTACAGCACTGTATTTAATCATGTTATAGTACTTTTTGGCTTGAACTCTCACTATCAGTGTCTGCTTTCCTGTTGTCACCATTGGTAACATGATGCTCCTTTTTTGTGCTTGCTGTCTGCTCGGTGTAGTTTGGGAGAACAGAGGTCATTGATAACACTCTGAACCCAGACTTTGTGCGAAAGTTCATCCTTGATTACTTCTTTGAGGAGAGGCAGAATCTACGATTTGATCTGTAAGTATAAATAGTGTCTGTGTGCTTGTTTGTGCTTTAATATAATGGGGCATTTTTTACAATTTTAAAAGTCACTTATTTTCATGTGACTTGGATGTTTGTGTATTTTCATGCATGTGTATAATGTCCACATATTTGTAGGGGAAACAGAATGACTAAGAACAGAATAACTTAGAGTAGGTGTTTTTCCCCAGGAGTATTCCAGACATCTCAGTGCATCAGCGCGCACACACACACACACACACACACACACTATGCTAAGGCTTGTTTGCACTCGCTGAAGCATGTAATATACAGCACCCCAGAAATTATATTAATGCATTATTCACTCATGTCACCAGCTTTCTTCCCACACGCAGCACCACAAACACACATTAAAGCATTTACACAACATTTCTTTAACTGCAGATACGCAAGCATGGCAGTTTACACATACGGCATCTACAGTGTACACTACTACAGATCTACTGGAAAACGTCATGTCCTGAATGTCTTTATCATAGGATATATATAGAAATACATGTTATATATGCAAAGAAATACATGTTAAAATGCATTTTTAATGTACTTTAGTGTTTGGAAAACATTTTGGAATTAAGCCATGTATTTGAAATGCATCTCACATACCTCTCATTATACTTTGCACTTTGGCTCTGGCATTTGTGAATTTTTCCATCATTTCAAAAACTGTGGCTACAGATGGTGTCTGTGTTGGCGAGGACTTTTCTTTTCTGCCTCTGTTGTTTTGCTGCTTTCTGCACATTGAGAAGAATGTCATGTTTTCAAGTGGTATCAAACCTGTCATGGAGATGTTGTGAGTGTTGTAGACTGACCTGATACTTGGCATTACCAGTGAAATAGTTACAGTTTAGTTCTAGTATAGTCGACATTTTCACTGTTTATCTGCTGCTGCTCAGACTGTTTGAACATGTCTGCACTGCCCAGAGCAGGAGAGCAAAAAGAACAGTGTTTAATCACTGTTTCTCATTTTCAGTACCATTAAAACTATGTGTAAAGTCTTAGATTTTGCCACTTTATTGTTGGCCGATTTAATCAATTTTTTTTTGGTCAAAATATTTTCTCTTAGCCAAAAGCCGAATGGTGTGTGTGTGTGTAGTTACACCACTTTTTACCTCTCTGTCACATCAAAATTCAATGTCTAAGTGTGGTGTTTTGTGTGTGTTTGTGTCTGCAGTGTGGTGTTTTGTGTGCCTATGTAGCAGCAGTGCATGTGTGTGCTTGTGTGTAGGGATGCATGTATATTTAGCTGTATGCGTGTTGGTGGCAGTGCACTGAAGCATGCAGGAGGGAGTGCTTGTGAACGAGTCTGGCAAAGTTGAATAGAACATTAAGAACATGTGCCTTTTGCCCTGAGTCACTCATCTAATCAGCTCTGTGCTCTTTCACTGTTACAGTCAGAATAAGCTTGTATGTTTTATAGTGTGTGTATGTTTAAATGTGTGTCTGTGTGTTACAGTATATTTATTTCTGTATCATTTGAGATTACTATGAGATTGTTATGTTAGTTTGTTTTTAATTTCACCCTTATTGAATATTCTTGTCCTGTTTCACGCCTGCAGACATGCTTTGCTCAGAAGGCCTGGTAAAATTTACTGATAGGTCAGTTTTTCCCAAATAAATTCCCCAAATGTCAATATTGCTGAAAGGCATTGTTGGCATTTGTTAGAATTCAAATTATAATCTAGTGTATTATGTCACACTGCTTAAAGAAAGGCAGAAATAAGCACTATACACAATAAACTAACAGTCAGAGTCTTTACTCACACCTTCCCTTCACTCACGTGCACACACACATTAGGTAAGGATGATTACACAGGGGCTGATTGGAGCATATGGGATGAGTTAGTTGTGATAATGTGTCAGTGTATAGAGCTGGGGTCTCTCCTGCTGCAGTTAAAAATACCTGCCCATGTGCTCACATCCCTTTAGGAGCACTGTTTGAGTCAACGTGCCAGCACTGCGGCTTCAGCATAGCAAGAGCAAGTCAAAAAGCTAAATACGCATGGACTGACTTTTGTAGGATATAAAATTCCTCTCTAGCAGGCCCTCTGTCTGAAACAGCTACATCATTATTACTCTTCAGAAAGGCTCTAGATACAAATGGAGCCAGAAATCTTCCTACCAAATTGTTGGAAATGTGCTGTAAAGCGCTGGTATCTGACCCAAACCTGACAAAGCCAGACAAAATATCCAGGTTCAGGCCAGGTTCACAATTTTTCAGATATAAATTCAGGCTCTGTTCAGACTGGAGTTTGTTTTCTGATCAGTGTTTTTTTGTGTGTAGTAGATTTGTTTTTATTTGAAGGAAAACAACTGTGTAAATTTTACGTTCTTTTATGTACGCATTTTCTCTCCTGTGCACACTCTCTGTAGCGTAGTGTATATCACTCCCTGGTAATCTCTGATAATCCATCTCTGTTAGTATGCGCAGGTGAGTTCGGTTGGGTTCAGGTTTCAAATTTAGCAGCACAAGTAGAGTCTTAATAGGTTGGGTTTCAAAAGTAAGGGGTACAGATCTGATTTAGCCTTTAATTTCATGCCTGTGCAGACCTCTACAGTGAGTTGCCCATTTATTGGGTACATCTAGCTTGTACCAACACTCACTGGCTACTCCTGTCATGTAAGTGCACAGTTGCTGACTGCAGCACATTTTGTAAGCAGTGGTCATATGGTGGCCCTTTCCACTTATGGGTGGTGTAGAGAGTGAGTGGCAGAAAGAAAACATATACAATACTTTGAAAAGGTCTTACTAACCACCTAAGAATGCACCTAAGCACATACTTTAAAGCCATTTACCTTGGCAGTAAGTGTGTTTTTACTTGTAACACCATATATTTTTAAGTAATAAAGTACGAGTAATAAAGAACCAAAAAATATTTATTGTCAAAAAGTAGTTGATAAATCTTGTAAGCTAGTTAGAAGACCGATGTTTAGTGCCGATTTCTCATGGCATTATTGATTTGCCAAACCATGTTTTCAGCAACTGAATTTCACATATTTTTTTCAGTATTTAGTATGACCAGCATTTACCTACATTTCCAGAAAAATCTGCAGCGACATTTTTCCAAACCTTCAAAATTCAGTCTTAGTAGTTGGTTGTATTTTCTCATTTTCTCATTCTCACGATCTAAATAATCCCAAGCACATTCAGTGATGGTGAAGTTCGGACTCTGAAGCAAGAGTGGAGCTTGATTTTCTCCTCTCTCTCAAAGAGGAAAGCTTTAAGTACTGCTTATCTGATGGTGACAGATTGGTGGTCTAGCAGGTCTTGCACGGTTGGAAGACTCATTTTCTCTATATCTTTCTCTACCCTATACTTCAGTTAAGGAAATTTCTGTTTTTTCACTTGTTTTTCACATTTTCCTTTGACTGTCTCCTTTCATTGCATGTGGATTATATTATATCTAATCTCCTCAGAAGTATCTCCTGAAAAAATCTATCAATTGTACTTAATGGCTGTTTTGACTATAAGTTAAGTAAAAGAAGAGGGGTCTTTTCTTTCACACAGTACTATAAATTGTGCACAACAGCAAGTTTTTGTAAATCTACAAAGTGCACCTATATGGTAGGTATAAAATGACCTGATAAAATGGCCAATGAGTGTGGATTCAAAGTACGTGTGGCTAATAAACTGTGTAAGGTCATCATTTCCATAAGGGATTTTACAGTAGTAGAGTTGTGTAAGGCTTGGCGAAGGCTTTGTGTTTTCTCTCGGTGTTACAGAGCTTGTGTTGGGCACAGGGAGTGAGTGCGCTGACAGTAGCTGAGGGGGAGAGTGCTGTGTGTGATGCTGGTGGACTGGGTGAGAATGTTCCAGACTTAACTGAGTTTCTTATCTTCCCCTCCAGGTACGACCTCGACTCAAAGAGCGAAAACCTGTCCAAACATGTAAGTGAGTGATGGTGGCTTATAAATCGCAAGAGTTCGTGTGTATATATATATACAGTGTGCTCCACAAATATTGGCAAATATTTGGCCCAAAAATCTAACCTTTATTTAAGGTATAAGGAAAACAAAATCTTGTCATGAAATAATTATTTTTCTTAAATCTATGTGTGCCACAATTGTTGGAACCACTAGAAATTCTTAAGAGTAAAATCTAACTGAAGCATATTCCCATTTATATTTTATGTTTTAAGTTCGCCCGAGTTATTAGGAACACTTAAATGGTCAGCAATGACTTTCTGTTTCACTAGGGAATATATATGAGATAAAACAGCAGTGATGTGCAACAAAAGGTTGTTGAGCTGCACAAATCAGGAAGTGGCTACATGAAAATAGCTGAATAGTTGAACATTTCCAGTATCAGAGCAATAGTTAAGAAGCTTAAACCAACTGGACATGTTAAGAATCTGCTGGGAGAAGGATGTATATCTGTACTGACCCCACACACAGTGAGGAGGATGGTTTGAGTGGACAAAGAATCTGCAAGGATCACAGATGGGAAATTGCAGAAATTAGTTCGGTCTTCGGGTCAGAATGTCTGCCAATCCACAATATAACCACCTATATAACCACAAGTTGTTTGGGGGGTTGCCAGAAGAAACCTCTGCTGTCAAGGATCAACACACTCACCAATACAGAAAATCTGAGGGATAAGCTGAAGAGGAGAGTCCACAGCGTGGACCTCAGAATCTGAGAGGAATGGTCTCAGATCACTTGCCCTGTGTTCTCAAGTCTCAGTAAGCATTTTAGGAGAAGACTCAGAGCTGTTATCTTTGCAAAGGGAGGCTGCACAAAGTATTAAATGAAGGGGTGTAAACAATTGCACACGCAGATTTGAGAAAAATATTTATTTTCTAATCAGATTTAGTTTTGTTTTTTTCAGTCATTGTACTTCAAATAAAGGTTGGATATCGATATGCAAGGATATGCAATTTTTGCTCATGGCTATTTGTGGAGAGCATATATATATATATATATATCAGTGCAATATCTGTATGAGTGAGTGAGAGATTGTGTGTTCATTTGTCAATGACAAAGACTGTGCAGTCATTGGCTGTAAATGAAATGTGCAGAAGATCCCTTCACTTGATAGGGTCACAAATAGAGGTCACATAATATCTCCGAATGCACCTAAAAATGATCAAGAAAGATTTCCTTTTTCATCATCTCCTCATTTGTCACTGACAAGAAGAAAACAGCTCTTTTTTGTCATGCGATGCTTTGGCTTAAGGTGCTATAGGACAAAACAAACACAGACTGTTAACAGACCCTTGGCAACTGAGGGATGTAGGCTGCTTCTGCCTGAGTGTGATTGCCATTATCTGACAGAACGTCACTCAACCTCATCAAGTCTTTTGGTAAACAGCACACTTGTGTTACATTGTATGATAAGTGAAGAGCAGGACTTGGTAATCTAACTGCTGCTTCTGTAGCCATGTGATTGACAAACAGAATCATAAACATGTCTTTCTCATCTTTGCTATGCACTGTGGGAAGTTTAGTTCTTATGGTCAGTTTAGTTCTCTGCACTAGAGGTTGGATATAGAAACCAAACCCTGTATTATGACTTACGCCCTGTATATTCCTGATTATACAGTCATTATACAATCAAGCGATCTGATCACAAGTAAACATAGAGAAGTATAGCCGTTTACACGTGGCATTTCCCTGTGACCACTTACGATCAGATTTTGTGACTAGAGGAAGTGTATCACAGGATAGTCTGTCACTGTGTTTGTTTTCAGACAACAAATTGCTTTGAGTCTATGTCCTTGTTTGTGTACATGTATGGGCTGCACAAACAGCCACATGGACAGCTAACGTAACTTATAAACAAATGGGGAAGAAGACGAAGAAAAAACTACACACCTCTCCTCTCTGCTATGATGACACAACTGATTAAGGTGGATCATTCGATGTTTTCAGGGACACATCAGGATGTTTTAGTGTTCACACTACAAATGTTGTGTGGCTGTTTTACGTCCCTGACCACCTCTGAAGGTGGTTTGAGTGATCAGATCACACAGCATCTCCAAGACACCTTGGACCATGTTCACACCTGCACTTAAGGCCAGGTGTGAACAGGGGCTTAAACTGACTACTAGTGATTACAAAGTCCAGGACTGGAAATTGGATTCAAGGTATGGAGCTGAATACCACTCAAGGTTTGGAGCTGAAGATCATTCATATTCTTTTATTTTCATTTTCATATCATGGTTTATTTGGCAGTGTAATGGCAGTTTTTTGCTGTGCGATTTTCATCATGATGAAAAAATCGTGACGGTCTCACACAAAAAAAATTACAAATCGTGAAAGAATTCTTTAGCCATGGCTTAAAATCGCTGTTTTTAAACATATAATATGATGTGTTCCTTAAGCAGCCGATTTAGTACTCCTGCAACCAAAGACAGCCTATGAGAGCTATAGCAGTGTCAAAAATTTTGATCTATGTGTCTGCTGCTATGACGCACATCTAAAAACAAGCAGTAGGGAACGGCATAGAATAGTGTTTGTGTGTGTGTCAGTGTGCGAGAGAGCGAGAGTGAAGGTGATAAATGAAGGTAAAAACTTATTCAGAACTTATATATTAGCTGGCATACTTCAGACTGACCCAGACCTCAGTTCACATATAGAGTCACCTGCCTTGAAATGGCTTAGCCAACTGTGTAATGTACAGAAGAGATAGCCACCTGACCTTAAAGGGGAATTTTTCAAAATTTCTGAATAATTCAGTCCTTGAAATGTAAACAGCATCATTCAGAGTGGTTTGACCTGAAAAGGCTCATTGTAGAGAAACTTACAGACTCTAATTTCTTTACAGTGGTGTTGATAGGAACCAGGGGTCCCAATGTCTACAACACAAATGTAGCCATTTTATTAACTATTCAAAACCACCAGTGAACCTACACATGTCTTCTGAGTTTTTATATGGAATGTTGGTGATGGTAAAATAGTACAAAATCTGACAAAATAAGTTTTCTTTGGGTACTATTTTACCTTTTGATGCCCTGCATGTATCTCTCCGCCATGGATAGATAAAATAAAAAAAAGGAATAAAATACATTTTAAGCTGAAACTTTATCACAAAACTATCATAAAACAATGTGTCAGACATCAGAGAACATATATTTAACCATATCAGTAAACTCTTCAGACGTCTGGTTCCTGTCACCACCACTGTGAACAGTTCTGACACAATAAGTTTCTCTAGAACAGAGCATTTCACACCAAACCACTCTGACTTTGACTACATTTCAAGCATTTAATTATGAAGAATTTTTGAAAAATCTGTGGAGTTCCCCTTTAAGCTCACTTTAGAGAATGGGCATTCCAGGTTCCCCTGTTTTCCCCTGCAATGATCTGCTCAAAACTCTCCTTCTTCATCAATTTCTTGCATTGTTGATCTGTTGCTAGAAAATCTTTATTGTATAATCTGAACTGCAGCATGACTGATATCTCACAGTCTGCCATGGAATATGGCCAAGATTTTAATTGCAACACCTCATATAGTGTGACATGCAGTTGGCAGTTGTGGTGTTGTTTTCTCTGCCATTACTTCTTTTAAGAACTAACCAGCTGTCACTAGTGGTTTAACCCAGGGGTCCACAACTCTAGTCCTGGAGGGCTGGTGTCCAGCACAGTTGATTTATCTGCTTAAACACACCTGATTAAACTCATCTGTTAACTGCCAGGTTTAGTGGGTGTGTTTGAGCAGAGAAACCTCCAAACTGTGCTGGATGCCGGCCCTCCAGGACCACAGTTTAACCCCTGACTTAAATCCCAGACTTATTACATACTAAGGCTTATTATTCAGTAACTACACGGACATCAATGCAAACTAGTTGAGCTCTTATGTTCTTAGGTTATATATTTGTATAATAAAACTTTGGGTCTGCTGGTGGAGTTTAAGGAGTTAATCAGAACACAGATTTGCAGCTGGCTATAAGGTTTATGCTGTCACTGCCCACTATGTGCTGTGGACATGAAACATGATTTACAAGCAGGTAGATAAGCCTCTTTGTCCTGATTGGTTGAATGTTGGTGGTCCACATCATTGTTTTTTCCTTCTTTTCATAGAGCTTGCCGCAACCACAGATTTTTTGGGGGGTGTGGGGGGGTTATATTTGTAATAATAGATATATGCTGCAGCCAGAATATGAGATTAATTTCAACAAAAATTCCAAAAGCCACTCTGACTTAAAAAAATCACTAACCCTACCTTAAATCAAAGACATCGTCAACAAGTGGAGAGGTTGAGGCTGCTGGCATTTTAATGTAAGACGTGCTGTGTACTGTGGTGGGTTGGTGAACAGATTAAAATATAACTGCTGACAGATTAGCCGTCCTATTCATTTTAGTAGCTGTCTGCTTACAGCACAAAAAACAGAGTGGTAGTACATCTTGGCACCAAGGCTATTACAAGCTGATGTCAAACCTTTGTTGCTTTGTACATTTGAACTGACCAGTGGCATGGCCTGTAAATGCTAGCCACTGAGTGCAATAGTGTATGGGACTGGCAGCCCCTGAATGTACAAGCTTGGATAAACCTTAAAAATGCCTTTGAATTGTTTGCTCAGTTTCTGTTTCTGAGACTAGCAGACAGAGCCTGAAATCAGCCCTGTTTCCTGGGAGAAGCAAATGATTAGCTGGAAATTAGGATGAAGGAATTTAGGAAAAACTGTTGATCCTGTCATGAGATTGGTTGTAGGAGCATGGAATAAACATTCTTTAAACAGATCCAACCCTGGGGAGCACAAATCTAGCTGGTCTGTGGACTGAGAACTTCTGACAAATTGTTTTTCTGAGCTGTTGGGTGACCAGATCAGCCATGACATCCTTCTCTGGAGACTTCGCATGTATCACACACACACACACACACACACACACACACACACACACAAACACACATATTCTAATGTGTATTCCTGTGCAAACTCTTGTAATGCTGACATGTAATATATACAATAGAAAAACATCTATGATATTATATTTGCCTTTGTGTGTGTCCTACCTTTAAAACTATTTACTTATTTATTTTTGGTTACTAAGGTTAAGGTGACTTAGGTTACTGAGGTTAGGTGTATATATATATATATATATGTATATATATATATATGTATATATATATATATATATATATATATTTTTTTTTTGGTGTGTGTGTGTGTATGAAGTCGGAGACCACCCTTTATTTATTCAAAACAGCCAATAAGCAGTAAGTATTAGGTAGAACATAATCCACTTACATAAATAAGGAGAAAACCAAAGTAAAATATTTGTAAACAGGAGTTTCCAAAACTAGAGTCTAAAAAATGATGAAAAGATGTAGAGAAACTGGGACTCCTAACAACCGGGAGCCCCAAATCTGTCCCCATCAGATAAACAGTACTTAAAGCTTTCATCTTTGAGAGAGAGCAGAAAATCAAGCCCCACTCTTACCCCAGATCTTTCTGTCCATCCGTCCACTGTGAGAAGACAACTCAGCACTAAGTCTGAAAGGATGTGTAGCTGTCAAGAAGCCGTTACAGAGAATAGAGAAAAAAAGTAGAAAATGTGCAAATCAAACAAAGAAGCTGCTGGTGTTCAGTCCAGACCTCAGCATCACTGAATGTGTTTGGAATTATTTGGATCATGAGAAGCAGAGTGGACGCAAAAAATACTGAAAATTCTGATATTATGTTTAGTTGTTGAGGCTTGAGGCTTCAGCAGTGACTGAAAATGGCCGTTTTGATTGGAAAATAAATGATGATCTCTGACTTTTGCACAGTACTGTATATATACATGACAATGTCTTGACTTTGTTAAAAAAATGTATATGTGTTTATGTTTTTAGGACTTCTTGGGCCAGATGTACTGTACTCTGGGAGAGGTGGTTGGTTCTCCAGGTAGTCGTATGGAGAGACCCCTCATGTGAGTAAGGCTGTTGAGTTTTTTCCACCACTGTAATTCCTTCTCTACTCTAAAAGCAATGAGCCAATACTAGTCTAACAGTGTTTTGCACATCAATTTTGATAACAAATGAATGTCCTAATTCCAGTTTGTATGTTTACATGTTCATGCATGAAGTGATGCATTGGAGTGTACGTACATATTCTGTATGCCTGAGTGTGTGTGTGTGTGTGGGTGTGTGTGTTCCTAAGGCACTGTGTGTCTATATACATGAATGAATTATGGTTTAGTGTACAGTGGCACATTGGGCACTGCTACATGATGATGTAACAGTGTGCCTCTCCCAGAACATTATATAACTGGGAAGGCTTCATTCAGCAGCACCTAGAATACTCTTTGAACACATAGATTCATTCATTCTGCAAAGCCTTAACATGTTAATTTATTAATAGTCACTCAGTCATTCTGCTCTGTCAGAATCACCTGTTCATTCACTCAGTCAAACCTGAATGCACACCAGCACTGTGGATCATTATAGAAATATGGATCATTCTACCGAATTGGTTCAAAATCAGAGTATATAAAATGCTATTTTTCATTAAAACACGAAAAAGTTTACTTAATTGCAGAAAATATGTGTTTCTCTAGTGACAGCTATTAATGTTCCACACTGATTTTCAGACTCTGAGACACATTTTCTTCATAACAATGAGATCTAATTGCTCACCATATGGCCAGACAGGGATGCAGTCTCACTTCCTGCTCTAAAATGCAAAGGTGTGGCTAAAATAAGGCTCCACCTATGGACTCTTTGTGTTATGGTAGTGACATGAAAACATGGGATAGCAAGTTTTTATTTAAAAATTCAAATCATGATAATTCTCAGTCTTTCAACTTTCAAAAATGTCTTTTGATAAACAACATTGAAAAAAAATGACAAAAATGTCTAAATATTATTTTCACAGGTTCAAATGTAGAGTTTGGGACAGTCATGTTACAACAAAAAGTACTCTATAAATGATGCCTTTGTATCTGTTTAACTTATCAAAATATTAAATGCCTTGTATTTAAATAGATCACAACATAATCCTTGTAAATATCTAAGGTCTAAATACTTAATTGTTCTTTTTAGTTATATTTTAATCTGTGAGACCTCGTTTGAACTAAGTCAGTAGAATGGTCCATATATGATTCATTCATTCATTCATTCACTAAGATATACATTGGCCCAATCCCATTTCACCCCTGGTCCCTACCACTTAGGCCTCTACTTTGAGAGTTCTTGTCTAGGGGTAGGGTGTCCTGATTTTTGTTGAGATAGAGGGGTAGGGCGTGTGTTACGGAGGTTTTTATAGAGACACACTCCAAATAGAGTGTTATGAGAAAAAAAAACAGTAAGATGGCTGCACGAGCAACCAAAAAAAAACACTAATGTGAGAGTATTTTCTCAGTTAAAAATTTTGATAACCATTGTATCTTAGTTTAATGTCGTTTCAATGTATTTTGGTCTTTTTCTTCATAATAAGCATAAAAAATCGACAATAGTATGCTAATGCCTCGCTAGCTAGCTAGCTAAATGTCTTGTTCCACCTTAAACAGTCCAGCAATACTGTCGCCTGAAGTGCCAGAATGTAACTGCTGCACCATTTAAGGTGTAACGGGAACATTAGAATGAGAAGCTGGTGAAAAGCCGACTTCAGCTTCATATCACTGAAGAATTAGCAGTGGGCGATAATAAATAATTATCGCATTCCCGTTTTTGAAGGCATATGATTCCCTAAATGTAGAGGTTGCTGAACTTTACCCTCCTCTGCTATCACTGCAGGCTTGCAGGGCTGCCTACAGAGCAGCGCTATTAGCCTGTTAATGAAGTAATGTTCTTCTTTATTTGAGAGTTGTCCCATTTCGTAGGGTAAGATTCAACCACTGCCCCTTGTAACTCAGTACCAAAGGGCAAGGGTAAAAATAAGAAATGGGATTGGGCCTTACTCATATGATACTTAACCATACATGATCTGAACATATTGGTTCACAAGTCCAGCTGATAAGCACTTTTTCATTTAACATATTTTGAATATTCACCATTCATTCAACCTAAAAATATTCTTACAAACTACACAGACTATTTAAAATAAAGGTGCAATAAGGGTTCTTTGGTGCAACATCATAGCAGAACCACTTTTGGTTCCCTAGAAAACCTTTCAGTAGATACTGAGGTAAACCTTTTAAAGTTTAAAGAACCTCCATGTAATGTAAAGGTTCTATACATTTTGTTATAGAGCCCATACATTATGTGAAGGTCTTTAAACTTTAAAAACGTTCTTCACTCTCACACATCTCATTTACAGAAATGGCTCTTTAAAGAACCATATGTTGAAAGGTTCTTTAGAGAAATAAAAGTGGTTCTTCTTTGGTGTCGCTCCAAAGAACCCCTTTGGCACTTCGTTTTTCAGTATGTACTGCAGTTGGTGTGGTGTGCCCCTTTAACTGTATGTTTGATATTAAGGTAAACCACATCGGCCTTGACTGCTCAGTAATTCTGCATCACAACCACTAAAGTCAAGAGGAGTCAACACTGCTTTCCTCTGCTCTCTTTCCCCCTTCTCTCTCTCTCCCTCCCTCTCTCTCTTTCTCTCTCTCTCTCTCCCTTTCTCTCCTTCTCAAGAGGGCTGAATGCTGTACGTGTGTTGTGAGTTAATTTAGAAGAGTGCCTCTCTCCCTGCACCAAAGGGGCTTGTGCACATTCAAACCAGATTAAAGGACTTGCTTCAATTATCCATCGATTTCTGTCTACATCCATTTCATCACCCATATGACATTACACAGAGCTACTTAGCGAAATTAAAAACAACCACTCAAGGCACAGCATAACTAAGGCATCAGTTTGTCTCTTGGTGTATGGTCTTCATGATCCTTTCATCATTCTATTCAGCTGAGGTTTTGTCACCAGTCTCTCAAGTATTCAGCCTGTGGTCAGCAATAGAGCACAGTATTGACCAAGTATTACATTGTGTTCTACATTTGAGTAGAACAGTGTAAGTGATGGTTTCTTGGGAAAGAACATGATGTCTGTGTTATTAATGCTTCTCAAGACATTTTGATTCCACTCCATGTTGGAGTGTTACTAGAATACTTACTGGTACACTGAAATGTTTTATAGGGGCATTCCTGGTAAAAACTGTGGAACCATCATCGTAAAAGCAGAAGAACTTGGAAATTGCAGAGTGAGTTATCCCTCTTTTCATTTACTTTGTGTTTGTTGTCTTTCTTCTTCTTCTTCTACTTCTTCTTCTTCTTCTTCTTCTTTATCTTCTCATTCCCCTCTGGCTCTTCCTCCTCCCCTGCTTTTCCTTCTCTTTCTACCTCTCCACCTCCACCTTCTTCTTCTTCTTCTTCTTCTACATCTTCTTTTGCTCCTCCTCCTCCCCCATCCTTTTAATCCTCATTCTACTTCTCCCCTCCACCTCATTCTTCTTCTTCTTCTTCTACTTCTTTGTCTCCACTTTCTGCTACTCCATCTACTCATCCTCTTCCTTCGTCTTCTTCTTCTTTATCTACTTTATCTACTTTTTCATCTTCTTTCTGTTCTTAGTTCTCTTCACAACTGTAATGTACTGGTCTGTGCCTCTGTGGTTTCTATAAAACAGTTTCCTGTTGAATAATGAATGCACAACATGCTTGAATGCACACAAACACACTCACACACATGCTGAGAGAGGCAGGGCCTAGGGACACTCTACAGCTGTTTATGTTCTTTATGTTAGGAGTCAGTATTGCTGCAGTTTTGTGGAAACAAACTGGACAAGAAGGATTTCTTTGGCAAGTCCGACCCTTTCCTCATCTTTTATCGCAGCAATGAAGATGGAACGTGAGTTTCAACAACTATTTTTTCACGAGCTCCTCCAACAGTCTTAACATGCAGTGATTAATCTGAATGATCTTCTCCAGCTTTGTCTGGGTTAGAATTGGGATAGACGAAGTGTTAATCTTTGATGTTCAGCCCTACAGAAAAGTTTGTGAGTTACTCTTCTGTCTGAAATTGAACAGATACACCATTTGCCATAAGACTGAAGTGGTAAAGAACACTCTGGACCCTGTGTGGCAGGCCTTCAAAATCCCAGTCAGAGCCCTGTGCAACGGAGACTATGACAGGTGAGTTCACTATTCTAAAAGCTAACCCATATTTACTGCAAAACACATGCTCTTTCATGGTCAAGAATACATTTTGGTATAAATAGCTATTGATGTTAGATAGTGATTCTGTAAATGCCCTTAGAGAACTTATAGCCTTACAATTTGAATTATTATTATCAGTTTAAATACATTTGATTTACATTAAATAATGATTTAAATGTAATTACCCCATTGCATAATTTACTACACAATTATATATATTCATATTTTTTTACAGAGCAATAAAGATTGAAGTGTATGACTGGGACAGGGATGGAGGGTAAGGAGATTAAGAATTTTTTTTCTCATAATACAACATTTCAATGAAAATGCACATGCTCTAATATGCATAATCAAAGATGAAACGATAATATGCTAATGTGCTTATTTCCATAGGCATGACTACATTGGAGAGTTCAAGACTAGCTATAGGGAGCTGTCTAAAGGCCAATCTCAGTTCAATGTGTGGGAGGTGAGTCACATTCTTTAATGTCTACAGAGACTCTCATATGTACCGTGAGGGGCACACACACATTTGTCTACACTCACTGGCCTCTTTATTAGATGTAGCTTCATTGTATTTACACTCATGGTCCTTTTTATCAAGTCAGCTTATCATAGAGGTGCATTTTGTAGTTCTACAGTTGCAGACCATAGTCTGTTTCTCAGTATAATTTGTTAGCCCTCTTTTACCCTGTTCATCAATGGTCAGGACCTCTACAGGACCACCACAGAGCAGGTATTACATGAGTGGTGGCACTGCAGCCAGACTGGCATGGTGTGTGTTGCACTGGTATGAGTGGATCAGACACAGCAGTGTTGCTAGAGTAGGACCTGATAAAATGGACAGTGGGTGTAAATACAAGGTAAATACAAGTATATAGGTGAAAAGCCTCCAGTAAACCCATGTACCATATAAGCCCACTTGCATTTTATTGATAAAGATGTTAATGTACTTAAAAAAGCTACTAGGCATATTAGTTTTGAGCCATTTCTTTGTTTATCTTAAGATACTTGTGTGGTTTAGATGTGTTACTTCTAAGGCTGAAAGATTAATTATTTTATGTAACATTTGCAGCTTGAAAGAGTGCATTTTTTTCAAATCACAAGACCTTAAATTTTATTTATAGCCTACAGTATTACAATGTCTTACAAATATTTATAGCCCACATTATTACAATGTCTTAAAAAAATATTTATAACCTACATTATTACAATGTCTTAAAAATAGGGAAAATTGAGAAATTTAAGCCAATAACATGGAACTTGTGAACACCCTGTAGATGAATTAGACCAATCAGAAGCACCCATATGCAGTGACATCACAACCAAAACTAACAGGCAGTTGGCACACTATTCAGCATCCAAGTCTAAAGCAAGAAAAAATGGAAATGCTTGAGTTCAAGGCCAAAGAAATAGGCCTGGATGCTAATTTATGTAATATAATCACAATTTAAATCACAGTTACAGTGTTGGACAGAAAAATCGCTATTCAATATTTTTTACATATCATTCAGCCCTGGTTACTTCCAATTTCAAAAGAGAGCTTCTCTGAGTTAACAGCTAAACAGCAAATGACCAATAAGCAGTCTAGACAGTTTGGGCTCCTACTGAAAAAGAAACATTCAAAAACTCATCATAGTGGTCTGTAAACATTCCAGTATGTTTATTAAATCATTATATGTAAGATTTCATTCCAAAAAGCATTATAGACCACTTATTATGATTTTTTTATAATTTATATTGTTGGAAGTGCCTTTACACATCCAAGAATTGTCAATTGTATATTATTATTAATACCACATTTATTACAGAAATAAATATGAGTTTCCCATTACATGTCAGCAGTTATTCTTATCAAGAACTCCTTATATACAATATTATCATAAAATATCTGTTTTGTGTTTTTTAAATGGAACACTGTCATAGTTCCAGTGTCCAGTGTTTTAACTGGAACACTGTCATAGCCTAACCTTGTTAATTACTTCAACTTTAAAATGTAAATGTATGTTTCTTTTTTTTATAACTTAGGCAATCAATGAAATTTTTTTTTTATTTTTATGTGTAATTAGAAAATCCTGCTTGACTCTGTGGGCCTCAATAAGCGCACTGACTCATTTCTATGGTATGTGTTTGTAGAGTTTGAATGATACTAGTCATTGATGGATAGCCGAATAGTTGGAATAGCCCAAACTTTAATGCATAAAATGTTGAATATTTTTTATAAATAATAATTCCCAGTTTAAATCTTTTTAATTAATATTTAATTAATATTTAAAATAATAATTTTTACTGAAATAAAACAATGCCTGGGTTTATTAGGAATGCAAGCAGGCTTAAATGGTATAAGGGGCCTTTCTAAGCCCTTTCCAGATTTTTCTTCTTTTCTTTTCTTCCATTATATTTTAAATAAATCATATAAAACTTGATAATGCTAAAAGAGAGATCTTTCACTTCTCTATATGATGCTAAAAACAAAAAAAAAATCCATGTGAAAATTATGTTTACTTTGGAGGGCTTATTAGGGGCTTTTCCCCTATATATAAACACAGACTTTACTTTACTGCTGTAACTTTTCTCTCTGGCTTTCCATATCAGTCTCACACACACACACACACACACACACACAGACATACAGACAGGCACAGAGGGAGAGAGAAAGCACACCATCCTTGGTTTAGATGCACATGAGTGTTTGATTCTGAAAAATGGCTCACATTGGCTTGGAATAAGAAATGGTACTTGCCTGTGGGTAAACATGACGTCCACCCTGGGCTGCTTTTTTATCCATGTGTTTAAAACTTGGCTAAAAATCAAATCTACATTAAGTTTGCTTCTTTGGTTTTACACTATGACACTAATGTAGCTAACAAGTAATGGAATGCTACCAGTTAGCACTGTACAAACCACGAGCTTAGATCATCACACACTTGCCTCAAAATGTGTCAAGCTGTTTAAGCTGCACTATGTAAGATGTTTTTGTTAAAACTAAAAGAATTAGCGTTACTGCTTCTGGAGGAATAAAACATACAAAAAATATGGTTTGCATGCGCTGTTGCAAGTCACCCTGTAAAGCCTGAAATAATAATTTAAAAATCATTGGCATTGGGTTGGATTTGATGGGAGTTTTTCAAACATGTCATATGACTTTGAAGAAAAGTATGATCATGCTGATGAAGATATGATGACAATAGTAAATAACTCACATCCTCTGAAGACACATACTTCACCAAATTTTAACTGAGTTCTGTTTGAATTCTCTTTTGAACCTACTCACAATCATCAGATTCGTCCTCTTCTCTTCCAGAGAAGAGATCTGAAGCACAACTGATGTTACAAAATGAAGAGTTCATTTGCAAAAAATAATTAACACCATCCTTTATAAAATGAGCTGGCTGAATGAGCTGAGTTGTTCTTAATGCATAGTGCATTCTGAACGCTAAACCCTGAGCCATTTGACATTCAGCCTTAGGATTTTAAGAGGTTTAAAAATGAAGATAATTTTTTTGCAAATGAACTCTTCAAATATTCTTCTGCATGTTGTGTGCAATTACACATTTACACAATTACACAAAATTCAGCATTAAATAATCTTAAACAGACTTGCTTATGTGGTTTCTGACACTGCGTGACATACTTCTATAAAATGTTGCATGGTTGAAAACATTTGCTTCAGCTAGCCTGTAGCCTATAATCTGTGCATTTGTCTGTTTTTATTGTTTTTTATATCTTCATAAGCAATGCATACACCATCAGAAACTACATAAGCAAGCTGAGATTACTTAACAGCACAATAATGCTTGAGACAAGATTCAGCACATGTATTTTACACAATATTAATCATTACTTGATAGCTACATTAGCCTGTAGCTCTAGTGCAAAACTAAAGAAAATTGTATAAATTTGACTTTTAGCTGAACTCCTGCTTTAGGGGTCATTGTGGCTGATAGACTGATAACAATTTACCATACTGTTGTTTTGGTCGCCAGAGGAAAAAATCTTTCTTTGTTTCTCGCTTTCATTCTGTCCTATTCTCTCTTCCACCTTATCACTTGTCGTGACTGATTGCCTCCTTGTGGCACCTCAGCTGTTGTTTCAGAATTCTTTATGAGCACCGTCTGGCTAGACCATAAATCTGTTTCACCCACAGACGATAAGCTCCCAGTGCATGCGCTAGTCTGCTGAATACTTCAGGGTCAAGGGCACTTTGTGCCACAAGGACAAACCGTTGGTCTCTCAGTGACCCGTCAATCTGTGGGAGGAGATTTATCCAATATTGCTTTTAACGATTTATGCCAGCCATCAGCTTTTGCAGCATCTGCTCATTGCTTTTCAATTTCGTGTCACCACGTTCATGCTCCCTAGCCTTTATTAGTTTGAGTCAGATGACAAATTCTTGTTCTGCTCAATAAATCCCTGTGGAGTGAACAGCAGGTGTTTCTCTTCAGGTACTAAACATGAAGAAAAAGAAGAAGAAGAAGAAATACCTCAATTCAGGAACTGTGAGTACATTCTCAAAATGTGCTTACACTTTATTCTTTCAAAGAAGAGTGAAAGGTTGAGGATGAAGGCAGAACGCACGCATGTTCTAACAAATGTCATTATTGGTAAGACTTCTTATTGAAGGTCCTACATTATATCTTCATAAGCAATGCACAAAGCCTTCATAAGCTGTGTATTAACATTCATAAATGATCATGTAGCTCTCCTCTGATATGTCACTCTTTGTCCCAGTGAGTGACATCGTCACAGCAGTTATGAATATTTATATAATGTTTATGATGCAAGTATGCATTGCTTATTGAAAGTGTAATGGTGTCTTTGAGGGCTGTAAATAGGAAGTGTTACCAAACTTTCATCTCAACAGGTGACACTGCTGTCGTGCCTCATAGACGTTGAAGTCACCTTTTTGGACTATATCAAAGGAGGGTGAGCATGAGAAACGTCAGGCGTCATCGTGTGCAAATTACAAACTTTGAGTGTATGTCTGTGTGTGTGTGCATGCAGTCGTATCGTTCAGAGACCATCCTTCATTTAATTCATTTCTACTCAAAAGAGGCATGAAATACAAGATGTTAATTTTCAGCATGGTAAAAAAAAAGAATATTTAAAATACAATTACACAGAAACCTCAATAACTAAATATATTGCCGTAATAACTAATATAATTCAGTATTTGTTGTGTCCTCTCTTTATCTTTAGTACAGTTGCTGTTATTTTTCAAGAGACTTTCATTTTTTCAAAGAAATCTGCAGGGATATTTTTTACACCTCCAAATTTCAGTCATAGAAGTTGGTTGCATTTTCTGCTTCTCACAATCCAAATAATTCCAAGCACATTCAGTGATGTTGAGGTCTGGACTCTGGGGTGGTCAGCCCATTGTTCTGAGAATATCAGCAGATTCTTTGCTTGATTTGCAAGTTTTCTCTTTTTTTGTCTTTTTTCTCTGTAACAGCTTCTTGGCAGCTACATATTTTTCAGACCCGTAGCATTGAGTTCTCAAAGTAGAAGAATGGACAGAAACACCTGTGGATTTTTTCACATCTGAAGCATGAGTTGAAGCAACTTGATTTTATCCTCTCTCTCAAAGACAAAAGCTTTAAGTGCTGTTTATCTGAAGGTGAAAATTTTGGTGGTCCACCAGGTCTTACATGGCTGTTAGCAGACCCATTTTTTCTGTACTGTTTTTTCATTTTGCGAACTCCGGTTTTGGGAACGCTTGTTTTCTTCCTTTTGCAAGTGGATTAATGAATTGTAATCTCCCCAGAAATATTTCCTCAAAAAATAAATAACCTTTACTTAATTTTGACTGGATATTAAACAAACGAAAGATGGTCTCTGACTTTTGCACAGTCCTGTATGTATGTGTATTACATAGTGGATTTCTGTCTGTTTGATTATGGCTAACCAGAGTGCTTTACCCAATAATTGTCCATTACATTCAGCCAGCAATGACTATTGTTCTACAGTGGAGGCTTTAGTATGCATGGAAAATGCCCTGCCCCCCTCTCTTCCTTACCTTGTCCACTCACTGACAAGGGGCCACGCTACATTAGAGACGCAGTAATAACCCCAGCTAAAAATAGCATTGTCTATTCTGAGACCGAGTAACATTCATAACACAAGACCTGCTTCTTAAACAGAAGAACAAACACTAGAAGAATTATATTTGGACGAACATCCATGATGATACTTGGTATTCACAGGGTGAAACACCTCTCTAAATTTAGCACAAATAGAATGCATGAATAATGCATTTTTATATCAGCTCGTAGCAAAAGAAGGAAACGTTTTAAGTTGAAACTCTGTACAGTGCATGTGCATGACCATAAAAGTGAATCCATATGGAATTCATGGAATGGAATTCCTCCCTTTCTTTTTTTCTTTTTTTATTTTGCAAAAAAGGCTATTTTAGTTCTTATTACTCATTTTATGTTAATTAACTGTTATCAAGAACAAAGGTTCTCATACATTCTGTCACTTTGTATTCTTTTGCAGTACTCAGATTAATTTCACGGTGGCAATCGATTTCACAGCATCAAATGGTGAGCTTATCTTCCTGAAAGATTATGCTATAATTAAATGCTTTCATCTGATGATTTTATGTGATGATAAGTCTTTTTGATACACCCCCAATGCGCTGTGTGTAGTTTTGCCATGCTTCCAGACCAGACTGAGACAAACTTTTCCACAACTCAGACGAACTTCAGATGCATAGTATTTGCTATAAACAGAATGCTGATAGCCTATGTGATACAAACAGTTACCCAGGACAAAAAAACAATAGAGATGACATCAAATCAGGCATCTTCTTTAATGCGTCGCCCACATGTAAGATCAGTCATTTGAGTGAGTCAGGGAAACATGAAGCGAGTGCTCATTATCTAAAGTGCAATGGATCATGCTTTTGCTTTGTTTGTGTCCTTTTCTATTTGTGGCCAGGCAACCCTTCACAGCCTACCTCGCTCCACTACATGAACCCGTACCAGCTCAATGCCTATGCCATGGCACTGAGAGCGGTCGGGGAGATCATTCAGGACTACGACAGTGATAAGATGTTTCCTGCGTTGGGATTTGGAGCAAAGCTGCCTCCCGATGGCAGGGTATCACATGAATTTGCCTTGGTGAGTAATCCACTATGGATGGTACCTCTTACAGAAGGCTTAGGCATTTCTGGGGTCTCTAATCACAAAAGAACAAACCCTTAGAGATTTTTATTAGTAATAGTCATTTTTAAAGCACATTTAAAGTAACTGATGTTGTACCAAAGAGCCTTACACAGAAGTAGTCATAAAAGAATAAAAAGAAAAGGACAGGCATGTTAAAAAAAGAAAGCAAAATAGACAAAATAAAAAAAAAACAGACACAGAACAAAGTAGAACATCTTCATCTGTCTCCAAAAGCTATATAATACAAATACTTTTTAAGCTTTGACTTAAAGGGCAATAAGGTACATCTGATCTCAATAGACTGTTCCAAAGCCTAAGAGCTGCCACTGAGATAGCCCAATTATTCTTTAGCTTTTTCTTTTTCCCTTGGAGGTACTGATCAGAGGACCTCAGCTCTCTCAATGGTGTGTGAAACTGAATGAAGTCTAATATGTGGTTGAGAGTCAGCCCATTAACTGCCTTCAAACCCAAAAATAACAACTTAAACTGAATTCGTAATTGAATTGGAAGCCAATGAAGAGATAAAATTGGTGCAATACCATCATGCTTCTTTGTGCTAGCGAGTTATCGAGCTGCAGAATTTTGGACTAGTTCTAGTTGTGCTAACAGGGTGTGACCGACACCTAAAAGCAATCAGTTATAGTAGTCCGTGAAGATGAGATGAACGCATGAGTCATCTTTTCCAGCTCACTGACAGATAAAAAGGGATTTTGTCTTATGGATATTTCTGAGTTAAAAAACAGCTGTTTTTGACCACTGTGAAGCTCAAACCTGAGGTCTGAATCAAAGGTCACTCCTAACTTTTTCACCTGAAGTTTAACATAAGACACCAGGTGGCATAGTTTGTTAAGGTAATTACTGGTAAGATCAGGAGAGCAGAACAGATTAACTTCTGCCTTACTTTTAAGTTTTACTTTTATTTAACTTTTTAGGTTCTTCACCATCTAGTCTGTGATATCCAAGAGAAAATTGTTCAACCTTTTTAATGCAGAGCCATCACTGTAAGATAGATGATGATAAAACATGATATTGTATTTCCAAAAAATGATGGCATAGTGGTAATATGTATGTGGAAAATAAGATCGGACCTAAAATGGATCCCTGAGGGACTCCATACGAGGAGAGGTGGGGTCAAGAACAGGTCCTCAGAATTCATAGATGTTTTTCACTAAATGTTCACTAAGAATTTTTTTTGCTAAAAAACACTGCAAGTTCCATGGAAACTTTTGCCTGTTTCATGCAGACTAAACACTTCAGTTTTTAAGAGTGTATCACTGCCGATAATGAAAGCATGTTTAAACACAGTTGTTCAAAAGTTTGGAATCACTTGTAATACAAATAATTGCTTGATTAATATACAATACTACTTACATGAATTAGATTTAAATATTATAAGCAAGATATTTTAAGTTAATTCATCAATAAATAATTAGTAATGTAATTAAGTAAAATAATGCTTGATTTTATATAAGCAGGAAGGAAGGAGTTTGATGAGAAATGTTTGGAAAAGCAGAGAAATGTAAGTTATATGAAAGCGCTGCGGTCTTTGACATATCTCAAGATGGAGTTTGCACTGGAGAGCATCCAGTCCCCTGCATATACACCGCTCAGCAGATATGGTACTTAATTTCATACAGAGAAGTCTGTACTCGTCCTATAGGTCTTTACCAGATGCTGCACCCTTAGCCTCTTCCCCTGGAGCTAGCTACAGTTTGCTAACATACCTCACCTGAGGGCAGAGAGCTTCACACTGGCTCCATATGCACTCAGCTGAGCATTAAGGGCTTACTTGAGTGAGTAGCTCTGCTGTAAGTATGTCTCATACAAACCAGCAAATGGAAAAGCAGTAAAGGACTCTTCTGAAGCTATCCTGAAAACACACGGGCAGTGCCCAAAATCTTGATGACTGCTTCTTTTTGGGCTTGTTATTGATGTGCATGACTTCTTAATTAATGAGCTTATTCTCTGTACACAAACTTCAGTAGTCTTTTTGTACATTTTCAGTAAAGAAATTCCTGACTTTGTAGGAAAACCATAGAAAACCAGGGCCAACCTACAATATCTTTTTGTTATTTTATTATTCAAAAATCTTTAAAAAAAAAAATATGGCAACATAGTAGTCAAAACAAAACCTGCTGTTGTGCAGAATCTATAGTACTGCGCGAAGGTCAAAGACCCCTCATGATTTATTTAATTTCTAATTAAAAGAGCCATTAAATAAATTTTTCAGGAGATTAGATAGAACTTGAAAAAGCACTAAGAAAGTCTAAGGAAAATAAGTGAAAAAACAGAGGTTTCCAAAACAGGAGTTCAAAACATTATTACAAGGTATAGAGAAAATGAGTCTTCCAACCAGGCAAGACCTGGTAGACCACCAATCTGTTGCCATCAGATAAACAGTATGTATGACAGTCACATCATGTCAGTGTGTAAAAACGTTTGTATGTGTGTATTTAGAATGGGAATCCAGAGAACCCATACTGCAGCGGCATTGAAGGAGTGTTGGAGGCATATTACCGGAGTCTGAAAAGCGTTCGACTCTACGGTCCGACATTTTTCTCACCTGTTATTAATCATGTAGCGAGGTGAGTCACAACACAGGTCACCACAGACACCAGCCACTGATTGCCTTAAGCCAGTAATTGCTCTTCAGTACACACACCAGCACACTCGTACATGGCCTTTGACTGCACCTACCTATGCTGCACACTGATGACTTTTCTCACTAGCTGAGGTGCTGTTAGTGTTTGTGAACAGATATGAGTGTTATATTTTAAATCGACAGACATTGACAGATATAACAAATTGATGTCTTGTTCATCCTTAAGATTCTACTTGTTACTACACTTCCTTTTTGCATAGTTACATAGAGCTATGGTTCTTCCTCCACCGGTTACTGAGATATGTATATTGCTGTGATGTCTTCTGGCTCAGGTATGCATCACTGGTGAAGGATGGCTCAGAGTACTTCATCCTCCTCATCATTTCAGATGGAGTCATCTCTGATATGGCTCAAACCAAGGAGTCCATCGTAAATGTAAGCGTTTGTAAAGAAAGAAAATGTGTCAGCTTCTTGTGGCCAGCGACGTGATATGTTGTGAAATGTGATCAGTTGGTTTGTAAGGTGTAAAAGCTGAAGGCTTAAGTCAACTGCAGCTTTTTGACAGGATTGTCAGCAGTACTGATGCTTTTTCAAATGGAAAATGACAATAACGTCGCTGTAGAAAGCACTAGATGAATATGTTGATTGGAGTTATGTTAGAAATCACTCCTGCTCATAGAAAGTATCTGTGCCTTCAGGGATAACATTTAAAACGACAAAATGAATCATAAGGAATTATAAAAAATAGTAATGGGATATAAATTGCATCCATTTATCTTTCCCTCAAAACATCTGGCAATTAGGGGACTGAAATGTGATTTTCAAAACAAGAATGGCTTCGGCTGAGGAACAGAGAAGGCCTTCAAGCTCTGACACAGAATAAGTCATTTATAATGTGTAGGCATGCCAGAGTCTCATCCAATACTGTTTACATCCCAGAAATGCTCATCATCTAACTCTTATGAGTCTGCTTTGTCTTTTGGGTCATATCATTATGTGGCACAGTTGAGCCCTGCAGTATATCTCTGTGCTTAGTATGCAACAGAAGATACTAAGGTACTAGGCATAAGCGCTAGTTGTGATGGCAGATTTACTAAGAGAGGCGCTGATGGGGGTGGCCAATTCACTGGCTATCTATTAAGAACATTCATGCAACTTCGTCATTAACATATGACTAGAGCAATATAACCATGTGTTTGTATTGCTCATGTGCTTTTTATATAAATGAAAGCCTGTTTTAGCCAGGTAGGAGAAAAGAAAAGACTTTCAGTCCTTCTGTTGCAGGTTTAAACTATGACTTTTTTCAAGATTTTGACTTAGGAATAAAAAATAATAACAATGTCAGAAAAAAAGTCATGACTCTTCAAGAAAGTATGTGATTATTTCAACAAAAAAGAAAGAAAATAAGGCATTATTTCAACATAACATGTCAGACATTTGAGAGCCTTCTGTCAGAGATTATTTTGATTCTCTGTTTTGAGACACGTGTTCATTTTTGGCTGGTTTGTGAGTTGAACTTCAGTTCTGTGTCGAGAGTGTTTGTAAACCATGTAAAATTGTACAATCTCTGTATAATTTCACTGTGTGCATCCAGGTTGTTTGAGAATTGTATGATGTTGAGTGTAACCTTTTAGCAACATGCAGTACAACATTGATCGCAGAGCAAAAAAGTTTCAATATGTGCTTTTACTAATCATTTGGAAAAGAAATCTGTCAAATCATCATCTAGCTTAAACCCGTAAAATATTCCCCAAATAACAATTAAAAGTATTGTTTTTCTAAAATTATTTAGTTTTAGATTTTTTTTATTTCCTTTATTATGTTAAGAATAATGTGACATGCATGACAGGCATTTAGGCATGAAATGTTTTTTTCTCCATCGAAAATAAGTAAAAAAGTGTTTGGAAATTTCTCTTTTCTCTCTGTCTCTGAACAAACAGTGGCAACAATGTTAGCCAATATTTTGTATTAGTCTTGGTAAATTGGAGAAGGTGCTTTAGTATAATAATCTTCTCTCAGTATTTTGCACTTTAAGATGGAAACTCCTATAATACCATGTGCAATGAGACAAAATAGCAAAAAAAGAGCAGTGACCAATCTTTTTATGGGCACTAAAGGACGAGTGCGCCTTGTTAGTAAATCACGACAGCCTGTTTTTAAAGTCAAAATGCAGTTTTTGACAGCACAAAACATTAGTAAATCTGCCCATTAATGTTTTTTTCACAAATGCTATGTTATGCCTGTAATGCTGTGATTGGATTTGTTTTCGGTTTAAAGGCATCCTGTCTTCCAATGTCCATAATAATAGTAGGAGTTGGCTCAGCTGAATTTGATGGTAAGATCATTAGATACCACAGCAGTAATGAGAGTATGTGTGTGTGGGCATGCATGTCTGTGCATGTTTGCCCGTGAATGTGTGCACATATATGTATGTTTATTAAGCCATTTCCACAGAGACTTAGCATGTTCAAAAGCATACAGTCAACAGCAAAGCTGCCTGCTGCTCCGAAGCTCTGAAGCAGGCCAGATTCTCCTCTGAGTCTCCTTCTGCTTTGAACATGCTAAAAGGGTTTTGAAATCCTTGTTTATCCTCCAAATCATCCCTTAGCTTGGCCAATACATATTTCATCTTTCCTTCCTGCTTTCCCTTATGGCCACATAAATCCGTTTTTTTTTTCAGATGTATCCTTATTCAATTTTATTTCAAATTTATTTCACTTTTATCATATTTCAAGTTTATGTTTGCTGTTTACATCTCATCTTATTCTTGCACACTTTTCCTCAACCATAAGTTCAAGCATTTTTCACAAACAAAAAAAGAATAATCTATGCACAATTACTTTTCATTTACTGAGCATATTGAAAAAAAAAACAACAAAATGTGGCACATTTTACATTGTATGCTTTATTTTTTCCAATATGTTAAACTCAGAAAATATATAGATATTGTGCTCTAAAATTAGCAGAAAATGCCATATATGAGTGTGTTCCCTGTTGAGGATGTAATAACTTATTTTCACTTAGAAAATCAACAGAATATGTAATTTGACTGGGGGTGTTCAAACATTTGCATACAACTGAATGCATAATTAAAATCTCTTAGTCTGTGAAGCCGCCAGTCATTCGTTCTGTATTGTCTTACACTCTTAAAAAATAATGGTGCCAAAAAGGTTCTTTCAAGCAATGCCTTAGAAGAGCCTCATTTGGTTCCCTGAAGAATCTTTCAGTAGATCACTTTGTTAAATCAGATGTGTAAGTCTGAAGAACCTTTTAAAAGTTTAAAAGAACCTTGCATAGTGTTCATTGCATAATGTTCAGGTTCTATACAATTAAAGATGCTCCCTAGAACCAATCAAAGATTGTTATAATGTGTTAACTTGCTAGTTTCCAATACTGTTTACATCCAAGAGCTCATTGTCTAACTTATGAGTGTGCTTTGTCTTATGGACTATTTCTAGCCCGGCCATATATTTACATCTCAGATACAGACGTGTGGGCCTCCCTGGTCATTTGACATGTTTCGTTGATTTTCTAAGTGAAAATAAGTTAATAACACATCCTCTATAGACAACACACTTCTGCACATTTTAATACACAATTACTGTTTATTTACTGATTTTAGCATATTGAAAAAATAAAACATAAAATGTGGCCTGTGCAAAAGTTATGGTATATTTTATATTCTGTGTTTTATTTTGTCCAATATGTTAAACTCAGCAAATACATAGATTTTGCAGAAAATGCCATATTTAAGTGTGTTCCCTGTGGAGAATGTACTAACTTTAAAATGTTAAAAATGTTCACTTAAAAATTAACTTAACATGTAATTTGACTGTGGTGTTTAAACTTTTACATACAATTGTGTCTCTTAGACCTAAAATCTCTGTCTGTGAAGTAGCCAGTTGTTTCTTCAGTATTACCTTACACTCTGAAAAATAAAGGTGCCGAAAAAAGGGTTCTTTAGAGTGATGCCATAGAATAACCAGTGTTTGTTCCCTGAAGAACCTTTCAGTGGATGATTCTTTGAAGAACCACTTTTGTAAATGAGGCATGCAAGTCTAAAGAACCTTTTTAAAATGTAGAAGAACCTCCACATAATGTAGGTTCAATTGAATTACATATGCATTTCTAGAACCATACGTCCGAAATGAAAACCATTTATGAACCTTTGTTTCAACAAATAGTCCTGGTAATAGTGCAGTGGTCAGGGTCCCACAGGATGAACACTTCATCAGCTCTTGCTGTTTTATTTGCTCAACAGAAATGATCGAACTGGATGGGGATGAAGTCAGGATCTCATCCAGAGGAAGGTTTGCGGAGAGAGATATTGTACAGGTGAGCTCTAGTGTCGTGTGCTTTTTTGTGCCCCTTAAATGTGTTTGTTGTAGAAAATAATCCCGTTCACATTTTCCCCCTCACCCTCCAGTTTGTTCCTTTCCGAGACTACATTGACCCCAGGGGGAACCACATCCTCAGCATGGCCCGTCTGGCCAAGGACGTCTTGGCTGAAATCCCGGACCAGTTTCTGCACTACATGAGAACCAGAGGCATCAAACCCAACCTTTCTCCTCCTTTTTACTCCTCCAAACCCCTATCAGCACTGGCACTCCCAGCACACCCACTACAGACTCAAATCTAAGTAGGACGTTGTCCTTCTGGTGGTTTACTCTCTTTCTCAGGATCATTTCAGTGGTCCAGTGGGGTCAAACGTTGGACTTTCTACACTCTGCGTCATATAGTAGCTGGGTTTTAGGGAGCTGACTTCTGCTTGAAGTCTGGAGCAGGCAGCTCTCTCCATTGAACTCACAGGTGTTTTGCTGATGATGTTTGATTATGATGAGGTTTTAGGAATCTCCCCGAATGATTAGGGAGTTTCTGACATGCTTGGACCATTGAGTCTGATCCATCTGCATATGTCTCATACCACTCTTTCACTCTTTTCTTTCAGACTACAGGCTGAGCAATGAACAAAATGTTTACAGTTTTCTTGATTTATACAAGCAGATAATTTATACCTCATGCATACTCAAGTTATTAAAGCTGTATGCCGTTTCACACAAATGGGTTGTGGTGGCTTTCTGCAGTGAAGGCACAGTGAGCATGTCTCCGAGAAGCTGTTGAGTAGTTTGTCCTTTTAGTGCATCTTACTGAATATTCTGGACTCTTCCACTCTACTGCCTCAATGCATTTCTGCTGGAGTCTTACAGGGGCTGGAGAGACAAGCCTTATTCTTGGTTACACACAAATCTGTAGCTGCTTTCAGTTCTTTGTGTCATTAGAAACACTGCAGTCTCCATGTGTGCCATACCTGCATCTGCTTTGACACAATAACACCACCTTGAATATTCTTGAAATTCTACTGTAGCTATGGTGGCATTTCATTGCATGCACTTTTAAAGTGAGCTGTGTGTAACACTGAAACGGCAATGAGATTTATGTGTTAGTCTTATGAAATTGAGAGGTTCTTTAGAACAAGAACTTTTGATGGCATGGGCATTGCAGTTTTTGACAAGATCAGAAAGGACTGATGTAGAAATGGAACACTTTAGCTTTCCCCTTTGTATGTTTTCCTTTTTCCCATGAGCACCATACACTTCAAACAAAGCCATTTTTAGCCTTGACACAGATACCATCAGTGGTCCTTAAATACGACAAAAATGTCAATAATTTGCTTTTTTAGATCAGTTGGATGTTTAGTAGATTGACATTAAAAGAATTATAATTACAGTCTGAGATCAGAACTGAGTTATAATAAACTGTACTCTCCTCAATGATAAAACACTTCTGAAGAATGCTGGAAGCTGCCCCAGCAACCCAGCTCAGAAAAAAAGCCCACACAAAGCCATAAAACTCAGGACTTCATTTATTCAACATGACAGGATGTCAGCTTAAAACTTACGCCCACTCATGCTGGCTCACATACTGTATTATCCTTATAAAACATGCATTAAACATACATCAAAGTTTAAAGCATAATGGAATGGAATGGGCATTTTTTCCTTGCTTCCTTTTATCATGCCTGGTCTCGGCAATGCCCGATGAAGATGATTCCAGCACATTTTAAATGACAAGATCAGCTATGTGACTTCTCTAAGAGATCAATATTCTTAGTATTTAGCCTTTAGTACATATTTGTGACTCATAAATGTTCACTTCTCATACCTGTTGGCTGACGCAATAAAGCTTACAGTGCAGCTGTGTTTGCAGGGATGGAAAGGAAATTAATTAAGGTTTAAAGCTGAACTATGACATGGATATGATAACACAGCCACATATTAATAAAGACATCAGTGGAGTAAATAAGTGTTGTAGATGGTAGACGGTAGATGTGTTCAGTGTCCATGATGTCATACTGCTATGGACTATTACATGAGAAAATGTGGCTAATCATGCGCTCCCTGGTAACAGACTTTGTAGTATCTTCTCAGGAAGGAGGTAGTGTCTATTGCTGATAATCATGACTTCATTAAATACAGCGTAGCAATTGTGGTTGCTGTGCTTCCTCTGGTCGAGATGTCTATTGTTTGTATTTTTATGCTGTTTTGTTATGTTGGAGCTTCTTTTCACCAAAAGTTAATAACTGTCATATGCTTTTGTCTACAGAGCACAAAAATATATTGACCTTTTCTCCTCATTATTTCCTGATCTACAATGCTACAGTATTTACCTTAAATAAGCATTTGATAGCTGTTCAATGTAATAATTGTAATTGGGATGTTTTGAAAGTCCCAAACAAAATACTGTTTACCTTTCCTCATTATAAAGTCGTAATTGTTACTATTGGCTGCATCATGTTTGCATGTGCAATGTTTTGTAAAGTGATGCACCTCTTTATTTTTGTGAGTCCTTTTTTTTAATACTATGGATTTTGCCTTAATATATCACTAAGTCAATGGATTTATGTCATGCCTTTACTGTTTGTTAAGTATGTGTTCTTTTAACAATTTTTTGCTTTGAGCGATTTACTTGTACAGATAAAGAGAATTGCTCATCTGTGGATAAATGGATATCTGTTGGGTGCATGTTGCAGTAAAAGCTGCACAGTTTGATGCTGAACAAATTCACCCTAATAACTGATAGTAAATGTTTAAAATATTTTTGTATAAATATTGTTGCATGATCCCAGCTAGAGCAACTGGCCAATGTCTGGCTGTCTAACACAAAAATGTGCATAACATTTTTGCTAAAGTCATAAATGTTGCTGATTTTATAATTATTTATATCTATTATGAAACATGAAAATCTAGTATATTTACAAGTCTGTGGTAAATGGAATAGGATTTCATATCACTGACTAGAGGATCACAAAGATGAGGTCAACACAACACAGTCTTAATCATCCTCAGATGAAATATAAGCTATGATATATTGAAATCATATGTGTAAATGACTGTTTATGAAATGTCATTTTTTAAATAAACATTACTATTTAACATTTGATAATGTTTGGACATTTTTATTCTGATGTCTTTCCATCTTCCCTCTGGTGATATTATCACCACAGCTTTAGAATGGTTCTGATCTACCTTACCAAAATAAAACAGTTTGTCACTTTAAGTAAGTGTAAATCATCTGCTCTGTCACTCAAGGGGTGCCCCAAGGCTTGGTTCTTGGCCCCCTCTTCTTTATTGTTTACATGTTTTGCACTGGACAAATGATACACAGATGTAACATTCAATTATATGCAAGTGGTAATTACACCACAATTCTCAATGATAAGTCCCCCACTATTCCCTTGATATGGGTTTTGAGAGCATGCACATCTGATGCAAAACTCTGGATAAATGAGAACTTTCAGACCTGTGCTAAATCTGCACATATCCTGTGCTTCCTCGGCTGCATAACCTACATAATCATAACCTTCACAAACGTATCCTAATCATAGTCCTTCACAGTCTTGCTCCTGCTTATCTTTCTGAGCTTCTTCATCCTTCAATGCTGTGACACCCCCCACCCCCTCAACCCAAAAAAATCAGAATGGCCTTACCCCAGTGACTCTTCCATGTCAGCTTTCAAATCTCAGTTGAACAGCTAGCTTTTCACACACTCTTCCTACAGATCGGGAGTTTTTTGGTTGTTGGGATGTTTGGTTCACTCTCAAAAAATCCAGTGTGAATTTACAACGCAGTTTGTATCATATTGTTATCAGTTTTAACAGAGGTTGTGTTAAAAGTAACAAAAAATGTTTGCTTATTAGTGGAAACAAAGATGAATCCAGTTGAGGACAGAATGTTCTTAACAAATCTGTTTTGAGAGAGTTCAGATGAATTCATTTATTTATTTTTACATCATGTACATCGTGTCCTGTGAAGCGCCCCTGAAAAAGCACTACATAAATGGAACAAATTAATGTTCCAGTTCCCTCAGCTGTAATAATTTTCTACAATTTGAACATTTCTATTTTCAGCAGTGTTTAATAGCGGTGTTTAAATTCTTCTACACATTGATAGATCTAAAAAAAAAACCATTATTATAGTGTTTCTAACAAGGCTCTGAGAGACTGACTGTTGTGAAGAAGTGCAGGTAAGCGTGTAGGCTGTCTTTTAATAATCTCTGAACAGATCTCTTAGTGACTGCTGTGGTAATGATGCAGAACATAACATCAATTAAGCAGCGTATACTGTAGTTATAAACTGGAGGGACAGACACATGTTGCTAATAGCTCTTTTCAGGTAAGAACAAGGTGTGATCAAGCTTCATAGAAATGGCTATGGTTTCTTTGAGCTTCTTTGGATGTGAAAAACTCTACTGCCCCCTTCCGTTTCTTTAGGAATGTGCATTGTTTTTACAGCAAACAGCAAAAATATCTTTTGACCAGCATACCAGCATCCAAAACACAACATATTCAGGTTTTGCTGCGCTATGCTGCTTTTTTCTTGCAGTGTAGAAAGAACTAGCTAATGTTAATGTTACTGACACATGTTTTACATGTTAAAGAGCATAAGTAATACAAACCCTGAATTTAAAATTGACTTTTGTCTTGGTTCATGTCCCTGGTTGTATTATACATTCATCATTTCATTTAAATGACCATAATTCTTGTTCTCTTGTAATCTTCCATCAAAATGTAATGATATCCCTGTTAAAAAAAAAAACAAAACAGCTTAGACTAGAATGAATTCCATGCTAGTCTAAGCTGGTTTATGCTGATCTGGTGCTGATCTGGTCATCATTTAGCTGGACACCCAGCATGGTCATCCCTGTTGACCAGCATGCCAGCATCCAAAGCACAATATAAGTTGGTTTTGCTGGTGAACAGCTATACTCGTTTATGCTGGTTTTACTAGCAGATTGTTGCCTGCCTCTAAAATGTCTTCTGTTTTTTGAATAAATAAAGATACCTGCTTTATTGTAAGTATCATTGCAGCTTTTATTATTATTATTACATATTCATTTATGAAATATATTCCATTTTACACAGTACTGTAACATCAAGATGATTTCCAACTTTCCTCTTAAGTAAACAACTCTGCGCCAGGCCTCTTTTAAATAAGTGTTTGAATGAATATATTATGAATGAATGAATTTTAAAGAAATCTCCTGCCTAGTCTGCATGTCTTCCAGCATGTGTATAATCAATGTGATCAGCTGGTGGCTCAGAATTGGTGGTGTTTGAAATGTTTGGAGAAGCAGAAATTCAGATTTACCAAGTGAGTGAATCAAGTTTGAGTTTGTGCATATTATAAAATATTGTGTGTGTATTATGAAATATCTCAGGGTGATATGAGATTGACTTCACAGATCCATATGGTCATATTCAGTACAACACTAAAGGCTGAATCTGTCTTAGATAAGTGCACTTACTTTTTATACTACTGTGAAAGGGTTGATTTTCTCCTTTACTTCTACCAGCAAGTAGAACAGGCCCAGGCTGAGCACCACCTGCTCCTGCTCCAGGTAATGTGCACATCAGTGACCCCACAACTGAGCTTAGAGTCAACTCTGAGCTTAAATTACAACTGTGTTCTTACCTTGACAAAGCAAAACAAAATGAAGAGAATTTCGTTTTTTCCTTTGTGCTCCCTCATTAGATAGCAGCATTGTTCTCTCTTTGATCTCTCTCTCTCTCAGAATCAAATGTTGCTTCTTTTGGATGACATCTTTGCTGGAGTGTGTGTGTGTGTGTGTGTGTGTGTGTGTGTGTGTGTGTGTGTGTGAAGATCCGGAGCCCCTGGCCACTGCTGTGTGGGAGTGGAATGACAGTGTTGGTTTGTGTTGTTGATTTTTGCCTTAAACAGACATCATGTACTCTTGTTACAAAATTGTGAGCATAAACTGTTATTTTTTAATAGACTGTTTCAGCATGTAAATAGTATGCAGTCCATCTAAATATGTATATTCTCTACATATTTCTGCTGTTTATGTTTCATAAGACGCTGTAGATAATAAAACGTCTGTATTTTTTTTTTATTGTAGCGTTTGATGCAAAGCAAGGAGAGAGGAACTCAACTATTTACAAGCCGGGTTCTTTAATGATCTGTACCTGCACAGCTTAATATTATTTATAGCGATTGTTATTATTTATATTTTTTCTTGAACATTTATACCGTATTATGTTGTAGCCGTTTTATGAAACCAATCAGCCACACGAGGTCGTGCGTAACTGATTTTTCCACGCGGTTACAGATACATTTACAGATCTAGTGCTGACGTGTAAAAAAGACTTTCTGTCCGTAGAGAAGAACTGGAATTTACATAGGCATTTTCACTATTAAGAAGTCAATTCAAACATTCAAAAAAGTTTTTATTTTTGTCAGTAACAGCTCATTTGTTCGAAGTGAGTTTGTGATGGTGAGAAACTGGAGGACTGAAGAGGCGGATTGCCGTAATAACGTCACTTCCCTGTGACGGGCTGCTGAAAATAAGGGCGGCCATGTTGTGTTGGTGAAGCGGAGCAGCTCGCAGTGACTGTGTCGAAATTCACGTTATTAAATGAACTGAAGTGGTACAGACAGCGATTTCTGCCTATAACCAAACCTGCGGACTGAAGTAGGTCCCACGGACGGAAATCGATTACTTTTAACTGCAGTCTCGCCGACGTCTGAGCCAGAATGAGCGGAGGAACCCCGTATATCGGGAGCAAAATCAGCCTGATCTCTAAGGCCGAGATCCGCTATGAGGGCATCCTCTACACCATCGACACCGAGAACTCCACCGTCGCGCTGGCTAAAGGTGAGACCCTGACTGTGGGAACCTGTACGGCGCTCACATCTGTTAGGCTGGTTCAGCTGTAACATGTAGCTAACGTGCTGAGATTAATCAGAGCGTTAGCAGGCCAGCTAAATAAGTAGTTCTGCGTTGCCGTGCTCGTTTCAAAATAATGCTGTTTGTTCACAACACCTGAACAGGCCTGTGGGCAACACGGAGAGCTCTGTGTTTGGCTGTGGAGCTAATATTAGCCGCTAATTTAGCTTAGCTAACGTCACCGCTGCCTACTCAGCGTGCTGTGTTTGTTTACGTTGCTTGCTATACGGCTAACAACTAGCCAAATAAAGTTGTTTGGCTAATTTTAGCTTGCTAAGTTGGCTAGCTGGGTGACTCAGTAAGGTTAGCTAGATGGTTAAGATGAGACTATGTACTGGCCACTTTATTAGTTATCTTGTATTTATACCCATTGTCTATGTACCAGGCACACTTAGGTGCATTATGTAATTCTGTATTTACAGATTGTAGCCTCACTTTTACTGTATACATTTTTAGCTTTTCTGGTTGATCATTCACACTGATATGGTAGTGGCGTGCGTAGATACGAGTTTAGGTGTACTTAATAAAGAGGCCAGTGAGTTTAAAGACTATATACGTGTCTTAAGTTGATTAGAGTGAGTGAGAAGACCGCTAAATTTACTGTAATTGGCTGCCTCAGTTGCTTGTAACTGACCATGACTGTCAGCTAAATCTTAATTCCGATTGAAAACATTAGCCAACATTGTTACTCTGATTTTAGCTCTCTTTCATAATCATGACAGTCGGTTGCGTAGGTGGCTGTTATTATTTAGATTAAAAGACAGTCGAGTGTTATAATATGAAAATAGTAGTGTATGAGCGTTTGTTTGAATCATTGCCTTCAGTTCTTGAGTTCTAAATTTTCTTTTTAGTGCGCTCCTTTGGAACTGAGGATCGCCCCACTGACAGACCTATACTGCCCAGGGATGAGACATATGAGTACATCATCTTCAGAGGCAGTGATATTAAAGACCTGACGGTTTGTGAACCTCCCAAACCAACTTTGCCTCAGGACCCTGCTATTGTTCAGGTATGTGGGACAAACCAAGAAATTGCTTCACATGCTTGTGTTTTATTATCTTAAAGTGCAGTGGCACATCCTGGATCAGAATTTTAAGACCAATGCACACTTCTAAAGTGTGACATTTAAAGCAGCCAGGCCTGAATACTTGATAGATAGCTTGTAATATTTTGCTACTTGTTTTTCAGTCTTCTATGGGATCTTCTTCTGCTCCAACATCCTTCCAGTGTGGAAACTCTTATGGACTGTTCAAACGGGCTCCTGTGGCCCCATATAGCCAGTTTACTAACAGCCCGTTGGTTTCACCCCCATTTGGGGCTGTTGGAGGTAAGTGTCTCAAGTATGGTCTTTCAGCTGATATCATGTTAGTTACGAGATCTTCTCAGAGCTGGGTCAGAGGTTATAGCAACACAATGTGCCTTTCTAGAAGGGTTGTAACTTGTTTGAAATAAGATTTAATTTTGTTTGTATGGTAGTGCAGTGTCTATTCAGTCTCTGTGAAAATCCTGTGCTGTTGTTAGCAGTCAAAATTATATGTGAAACTAAGTTGTGGCCTCATGTGGTGAGTATAAAGTATATATAAATCTTTCATTTGTTCCTCCTTCCACTCCAAGAATTCATATGATGACATTTGGTTTTGTGTGCCATGTAACTTGATCTTGAGTTTTAAGCCTATCAAGTAAAGGAGATTGCAACAATAATCACTGTCCCTGACTGACTCCCCGTACCTTCAGTGTTTTCAGGAATATTATCACAAAACAGCTGAAATTTTAATCAGTGTACTACAGCGGTGCATTTATAACCTTAAAAAAACAATAACAAATTGTAATTATGTATTGTATTATTTTTTTGGTCAGTGCATTAGGATGCAAGTCAGGCAACATGCATCATCGTAATGCAATGATAAAATTGTACGCTGCTTACACCCCTTGCACTATTAATAGAAAATAACACCCAGCTCTAATATCTAGAACAATAAGTGTGATTTAACAGGGCAAACGACTACAGCACAAGCAATGACAGTATGCCAACATGAAAGGTACCGTATCACGCTTCTACATATCCTTACATATGCATGGTTAATAAATACTATCAGGATTTTATATTGTTAAAGGCTAAGAATGAGACGTTCACTAGAGCTATGTTGTGAAATTGCAAAATCACTTGCTTTCCTGCAGGTGAGGATGATGTGGCAGTGTATATATCCTCTCCAAAAGGCGTAAAGAAAACATCTTTAAGTGTTTTAATGATTAGAAGTGCAGTCGTAGTTGCGTGATGGAGCATCTCAATTTATGAAAGTTTTGAAAACCCAACAGCCATCACAAATCAGGCCAAATTGTTTCCACTCCAATAACTGAACCAAAAAACATGACTAAATCATGAAGTAAAGTCAATCTGTTGGCTTGCTTTCTGTATTTTGGCACTAATATTTACTAGCCACCGATGTTTACTACATGAGTTTAGTGCTCAAAAGGCTGACAAAAAGATGAACCATAGACTGGCAAACCTTTGACTGTTCAATGTAGTTCCCTGGTGTAGCCGCAATTAAAGTAGAATAATTAAAAAATAACAAGGGTTATCTATCTAAAGTAATAAGCATTTTAAATAATTTTAGATAAGTCTTTGTGGATGATTTGTTTGCACTCCAGATTATTGCCTAATATAGTTTCGTTTTGTTGGTGATTTGGTGTTTTGGATATTATCATTTAAGGTTTATCTTATAGGAAAGTCTGTTCACTTGATGGCCATCTTTGCAGCGCTGCCAGGCAGTTATTTTCAGCCATACCAGACCAGACTTCTATCTCTTTGAATGAGGAGAGACCTAAATACTGAAAACTGAGGGTCAAATTACCTTTTAAAAAACATATTTGAAATCACTGCTGAAATCTGGCAAAAACCTCATAATTTGTGGTGTTTGGCTCAACAACACACAAAAAAACATGATTTTTCAGGTTGTTGTGCAATTATGGTTCTACAAGGGTTCTTTAGTAAAGAAAATGTTTCTAAATAAAACCATATACACTCAAAGAGCCCTTTGCGTGATTAAAGAGTTCTTTGCACTGATAGTTCTTCAGACTCCAACATCTAATTTACTGAAGTCTATTTAATGGTTCCCAGGTGAACCAAAAGCCATTTTACTTTTATAATGTTGCTCCAAAGAGCCCATTTTGGCACCTTCATTTTTAAGAGCACACTTACATGATAGAAGTGATAGCAGAGATGCTCATTAGCTGTTTCTCTTCATTATTTCTTTTTATTGGCCCTTGTTGTGTTTTTCTTGTGAGTTCAAATGGTGTAAGATGCATCAATTGTTCTTTCATGGATTGGAATGATTGATGTTGTTAAATAACAGGATCCCTCCATGTTATGTTTAAGGAGTTTACCTTTTCTTTTTGTTCGTGCAGTTCTTCACTGAACAAAAACACAGCTAATTTCCTCCTAATTAATTCCAGTTTCTCCAGTTTATGGTGCCTGCAGTACCTTCTTTATGGAAAAAGTTTATAGTTAAGATATGTCCCTGTTTGTATCTAAATCCCCTGTTGTTATTATCTGCAGCTCGCAGCAGTCCTCCCCTGGAGTCCTTGCAGAAGAGCCCGCTGCAGGAGCCGACAGCACCGCCAGCCCCGTCTGTGAGTGCTGCTGCTCCTGCACCGGTGGGCCGGAGGAGTCCTATCGCAGCACGTCTGACCACATCTGGTAACCAGAAGCCGCTGGACATCCTGGAGCAGAGGAGGGGTGAGGGCCAGCCTAGGCTATGGTCAGGACACAAGCATGCTGCAGGAAATAAGGCTAGTGTAGTTCGCTCAAGCTGTCAATCAGCAGGGGTAAATTGGTCATTTCTTGATAAGTCGGTTTTTCGTATGAGATTTGCTTTATAAAAAGATTTCTGAATTCTGAAGTTTGCTTTGCCGAGAAAAATATGTTAAGCCCATCAGTTCATCAAACATTCTTTGCTGGATATTGATATGATGTTCAAACGTGCCCAGCTTGTTCGAAGAGGGTTTGTGAAGATGGAGTATTTAAGGGATTCTAAGATGGTTATACTTTCTCAGGTACTGAAGCGCCAAAAGTGGCCACTCGACCCGAGTCTGATCAGTCCAGAGGTGAAAACAAGGATGCCTCTAAGCGGCAAGCAGGTTATTAAATGTCTGCTACAATGGCCTTTCATGCAGCCATATTGTCAGACTGTAAAATTGCATGCCAGATTTCTATGTTCATGTAAATCTTCATAGATCCGTCTGCTTTTTTACGTTGTATGCAACACTCATGATCCAGCTGGTTGCGCTCTATCCCCTTTCACAGAGAGAAGTTTGGTTCAAAATGGAAGGCTAACAACGAGTTAGATTGCCTGTTTTTTCATGGCCATATTATCTCAAGTTGCTACCACATTTTCAACACAGCATCACTAATTACTTGAAAGTAGAGATAGCTGTGTTTTTAAACTTCAGGTTTATTTTAATTATTTTATATGTGTTAGACAAAATAAATGAATATGGATATGCTATTGCTCAATTTAAACCAAACTGAGACCTTCATTTCCAGCTTTATTTAATAGTTTTCAGAATAATTTTTAAAAACAATGTTTTTCAGGTAAGATACAATGCAAAAATTACTTACAGACTTTCACAGTTTATCCTCTAAAACTATACATTTTTCTGGCTTAAAACATATCACATCCTTGGGTTAATTTGTGAACTATGAGCAAGTATTTTTGAATAACTTTAGTGTAAATTCAAGTTACTGGTATTCTGACAGTACTAGCTTTAGCTGCCTGTGTTCTCATGCCTTAGAGGTAGTAAAAAGAAAAATGAGGATGCACAGAAACACGTCACTACCTACAGCATTCAAATGTGCACAGGGCATTAAATAGTGTCAGGTGAGTTAAAAGGTTACATGACTTATATATGTATGCTAGTGGTATATCGCAGTTTCTAAAAGTTTTTGTTTTTTAGACTTTGTATAGCAGCGTCGGTAGCTGTAGCCAGGCTAGGAAGCTAGTACTTTGTCATTAAGGCCCCTTATGGCCATTATTTTTGTCTTTGTGAAAGGGGCTTTGTTGTATTTTATGCCTTTTTGTGAAATCTTGAACTAATCTATATATAATAGTGATTGCTCATAGTGCTTTCCCTCATCAGCTGTTTGTCTGCATGTTCTTTTCAAATTACTGGCATTCTTGTGTAGGTACAAGCAGTAAGTCTTTATCATAATTTCTTTGTGTTGCTTTTTTATTTTTGATGTTCTCCTTTTTTCCTTTTTCCCATAGACTAGTTAATCAAGTCTAAACCTGACAAAATAACTTTGTATTTGCTTCTAAAAAACATTTTTTTTTGTATTTTTCTCATTACTGAAATTACATCCTTATAAATCAAATTGTTTTAGATGCAGAACTTTGTTAGTCATTTTTCTACTATGTAGCCATTTTCCATAGTCTTTAATTCTGGATGACTTTTTCTGTGTATCTTAATCCTGATATTTGTGGTCCTGCAGCTGCTGGCCCACCAGCTCCCCGTCGTGGTCGTGGAGGAGGTCATCGTGGGAGAGGGCGTTTCCCTGTGAGGAGAGATGGACCAATGAAGTTTGAGAAAGACTTTGACTTTGAGAGCGCCAATGCTCAATTTAACAAGGAGGAGATTGACAAGGAATTCCAGAGCAAACTTAAGCTGAAAGGTAAAGATCCTGCAAAAAAACAGAATTCATGTTAGATGTATTTGCTCTGTACTCTTGAGTCTGTTCTTGATAACAGCCTTTACAAATTGTGGGGCTGTGTGTCATTTCAGATCAATTTTGACATTTATTTAACCATTTATTAGGATACTGTGGTTCAGTTATTTTTTTATACTGTAATGGTAACTGACAAAAGCATTGCAGGCATGTGCTGGAGAATTAATATATTGTTCATGTAATGACCAGGGTTTAGTCGCCCTTGGTAAGAATCCTTATGAATACAATGCTCTCACTGGCAGGAAGAATGTCATAGTTTTATAGTTTCTTTTGCGAGCTGACTTTTTGTGTGGAGGAAGAAGCATATGGTAGTCTTAACCCAGATTGGTAGCAGATAGACCTACAGTGTTGTGTTTTGTTAAGCCATTGAGAGAAAATTGAACTCTGCACCCCGCTTTTCAACTAATATTGTATTGTTCTGACTGTTCCATTATTATTCACAATGTAGAGAGTAAATCTAGCTCTAGTACTGGCTAAAAGCCCTGCATTTTTTATTACATTAAAAATGAGAAGAGCTTGCTTGTGAAAAACTTGTTTCAATCAGACAGTTTGATATGCTATACAAATTCTGAACAATCCCTGTACTGGGGCGGGGGCAGATGTTTGCACACAGCGTTTTAATGTCATGGTGTATAGGTATACTGTGATTCTGCGCTGTTGATGTTTTTGTAATTTTTCATTCATTTTTATGTGTATCAAGATGAGAAGACAGAAAAGGCGGTGAATGGGGAGGATAAAGGTGACTCTGGGGTGGATACTCAGAACAGTGAGGGTAATGCTGAAGAGGAGGATCCACTAGGCCCTAACTGTTACTATGATAAGTCCAAGTCCTTCTTTGACAACATCTCCTGTGACGACACAAGGTTTGTATTCGTTTTCCACATTTTTTTCTGATATTTGTAAATTATGAGAGATCCTCAGTACATGGTCACTTTGCTATAGCAAAATGCATGTTGGATTGAACTACACCATTTTTAATAGTTAGGGAAGGAAGGCTGCAGAGAATGACCTTCAGCCTGTAGTTTTAGTAGTTCATCGCATAAAACAAAAAAGGCAGTGTCATTGTAGCAGAGAAGTTGTAGCAGAGTTTCTACCCGTTTTCCTGTATGTCTGTAAGTTGTACATGGAGAGAATTCTGACTTGCTCCACTTACATTTACATTGAAATTGTACAGAATACAAACAGTGTGCTTAATTTACCAATTTGGCTAAATGGGTGCCGTCCAAGTTAGCTAGCTTTGTGCAGGGAGTAGAGGCAGGTATATGTGGTTTACTCAGTGATGCAATGAGGGGTCAGGAGGTCATGTAATGCCACTGCAGGTCTGAGGCCCAAAGTGCATTAATTTCTAGTTACTTCTGTTTAAATATTCATGGATGTAAATGTTTTTCAGGGAGAGGCGGCAGACCTGGGCAGAGGAGAGGCGGATGAATGCTGAGACATTTGGGATCCCGTTGCGTCACAACAGAAACCGTGGAGGCTTCCGGGGCCGTGGGGCCATGGGATTCCGTAGCAACCGCGGTCGTGGAGCACGGGGATCGTTTGGAGCCTCACATACAGGTGGCAGCGGTTTCAGAGGAGGGTTCAGAGGAGGCCAGGGAGGAAGGGAATTCTCTGATTTCGAATACAGGGTAATGCAGCACAGTTACATTTAATTTACTTGAAACTAATATGCTAAAAATTGCATCTTACTGTTACTTATTTTCTGCATCTGCACAGCCATAATTTGTTTAACAATACACAACTACATAATAATGCTGCCAGCAGGTTACATCAGAATTATTCACTATATTTAGCATACTGCCCCCTACCCATTTAGTGGGAAGTGAAAGGGACTCTTCAGTAGCTAGGTTTCCATCCAGGTGCTATGCATATTTTGACATTGAACTAACAAAGACTTAGTGACAACGATAAATATCGAATAAACTTTCCAAAATTCAGCTTAGATATTTTTACATTTGCGGGAAATGATGGACACATTTTTTCCCAATAAATTATAGTGGGAAAAACATTTGCCATAATAATGCCAAGATTGCAATAACTAGTGTAAAAGTAAATAAAATAGTTGCATGACTGATTCATGAGTTGCGATTTTTTGCCCAGCAGTAAGTACAAAACATGACAGAAGCTGACCTAGTGAACTGAAAACCTGTTTACCTGATGAAGAAATTGATGAAGAATCATTGTACTTGTATCAGAGAAGAATGGCTAACTGTGATGTTAGGCAGTAAAGAAACACAGTGTACCTGCTGTTGATTAATGGACATTTTCATATTCGTTATTTTGTCATCATTCTGTCTTCATGCTTATGATGTAAATTATAGCCATAAAATTAACAAAACAGCAATAGGAAGTTGCTCAACCCTAAAGATTTGTATGTAGACTTTTGTGTAGAAATTATTTTAGAAATCTAGATGGAAACCTAGAATAATGAGGCCACAAAATACTGATTTACTGATTTGGGACGATACAATTCCTGACAAGAACATAAAAGTTTTCAATAGTTAGAAAAGTAGGCCAAGCTTTAGTTTTAAAATTTTCTGAATGAGGTTTTAGCACTGATGACAGGGACTATTATGCAAACTTATTATACAGATTTTTCTAATAAAAATTGTTCTTATTAGAAATGGGAATAAAATTAATTTGATAGTGGACAATTTCTGTTAAATAGTGTGTTGGGTGTGGCCTGACCTAGAGGTGGGCAATATTTTATCATTATCCTGAAAAATGGTCATAATATGCTTTTCTGAGCATATCATGGATTACAAAGTGAGCATAGACCTATTTAATTGGGTTTTGTGTACTGCGGTTTGTAAAACATTGAATAAAAATCATTGTAGTTGTCACCACAGGTTCTATTTTGTCTGTAGCAACTTTTTAAATCTCAGAAAATATCCTGAAAAAAGTAAAAAATCCTGATGCATATTGTGTGTTGTGAAAATGTATTGAAGAATTGTGATAGTATTTTTGCCATGTCACCCACCACTAGCCTGAAAATGTGTTTCTTTTTATTATTTTCCCAGAAGGACAACAAAGTAGCAGCATAGTGCAAGAGAGAGCCGGCTCTACAAGAAGATCTAACTCATGGGGTATACATTTTTGGTCACTACTTTTGACTACAGGAATGAAGAAAAAAATTACTAGATGTATATTTGTCACCAGCACTGGTATAGACCACTTGATAAGTGGATGTAAATGCAATTTCTTTTCCATATCTTATTAAAGAGTGGAAATGTTTCCGCCTTTTCAAATGTTAATCTGACCAGAATATTTCCAGATTGATAATTCTGTGTATGTGCATACTTCAGAGGGACTTTTTTTTTGTTTTTTTGTTTTCCCTGTACTAGATTTGTATTTAATGATCTGTTAGACATAAAGTGACAGTGTACATATGCCCACATACTGTGAGTACTTGATCACTGAAATAGCTTTATTATTGTTATTATTTTAAGTATAACTTCCCTCTTTAGCACTAGAACAGCCAGGTCGGGTCTCAGTTACAGCTTTTTACTGTATTTTTCTACTTACTTACATTGTTCACCCGAGTTAGGTAGCAAGTGTGATTACACTTCACCTGTTCAAACAACTAGTGTGCATTGTTGGTTTTCCGTAAATGCTTTTACTTTTGTGTTTAATATCTTAACAAACGTTTGTATGTGAGGTTGTAGTTAATGCAAACGTTTCTCATCAATGTGAGCTGTTAGATATGGACACAGGAATGACTATGTTGACTTGCAGTGGGTTTCACTACAAAGATTTAAGCGTTATTTTCTGGGCTTAGCTGCATTGCCTCTGGAAAACTCAAATCCTGAAATGTTCAACCTTTAGGTGTCCTAATGCCCATGCCTTTATATGGCATCATTCAATTTGTGTCTGCTTCACTGTGCACACCTACGTCATAATTGTGCCTGGCCGTCTGCCATACAGTCAGTTGTAAGCTGTAATCCATGCATTTCTGCCACCACTGTTCAGATGACCGATACTGTTAGGTGACCAATAGAGTATCTTCATTTTCATTGGCCTCTTCCATGTGTGACTTGTTTCTGACAACAGGACAGTTATTAGCTGAGTATGTTTTATATCTACCACTGTATGCAAAAGTTTGGGTGCCCCTGGTCAAAATACATGAAAACATTTTCAGAGAAATGCCATATTTATGTATGTTCCCTGCAGAGGACGTGTTAACTTATTTCCACTTAGAAAATCACCAAAACAAATAATTTGACCAGGGCTGTGCAAACTTTTGTATGACTGTAACTACCTTTAATATACGCTAATCTTTTACAGACATGTTTAAAGCTAAAGCATATTATGCAGCATAATTACCTTTTGTCAGTGACATACATAATAAGATTAGTTAGCACCAAGAGTGAGATATTAAAACACTCTTCTTGTTAAGTTGTATATAGACTTAATCTTTAAGCAAAGCCTATTTATTAGAAACCATTGTTGTCACTGGCAAGATAGCTATGTGGGATACGAACGTTATATCTGGTTTCCCATACATGGATTAAGTCTAGTCTTGAACAAAAGAAATTCCGTATTAATGGTGATTCATTGGAAATTCTTTAGTCCAAGGTTACGCCACAAATTTTGGTCTTAAAACCTGGATTTGTAAGTGTACAGTCTTGCTATGCTTTAGTTATATTTGTAAGCGTTTGCATGTACAGCTTCTATATATGCCATTTTAACTACACATGTACAGTAACAAATACAAGAACAAGTAAGCCTAGCATGTAGTCAGGTTTCATGTGCTGATGAGAATATGCTGATATGACTTTGATCTAGATATGCTTTAGTCAGTCATCTCACTTGTGGTGCCAGAATAGTTGCATTGCTGCCTACTACTGGTCATGTAAGGTATGACAGACCACTGGCCTCAAGTACAAGGCAAGTGTACCTAATGAAAAGTATGAAAGCATATCAGTATCAAAATAAAAATGAAAGTGGCAGTGTAATCCTAAGTTTGAATTTAAATTTCCCACTCATACATGCAACTTTGGGCTCAAAATGAAAATTCATTAATTCCATTTATATTTGCCGTTTGATGCACTAGTATCGATGTGTCATTTACACAGATTTAGACGCTTCCAGTAGCTTTATTTAAATGTATTTCCAGACATACTGCGCTCATTCTGATGTGATGACAGATCAATATATCCACCTCTGATGCTCACTTTATAAAGGAAGTCCCTGCATGGCATCAACTGGAAGCTCTGTGTCCAGCCTCACTTTCAGTCTCCGTTATCAGTTTATGAAATGAAGCCCAAGTTAGCTTCTTTTCTGAATTTTCCAGGTTCACCTTAAATGGTGCTGCTGTAACCTTTGGGTGCATTGAGGCTGCACTGTTTAAGGTGGACCCGAAAATTTGAAAAAGAAGCTGACGATAAGGAACCTAAGTTCAGCCTCGTTTTATTAACCAGATCAATAAACCAGGAAACTTGGCCACACATTCGATTAAGCACTTTTTCATGGGGTCATGTATAAAGACATTAAGCATTACCAGTCTCTGTATTTCTGCTCTTTACCTTATCTGCTCACGTAAGAGTAGCTATAGACTCTTCGACTGCCGTGTCTTTATAGAAAGCCTTTTCTCTGCGCTCTTGGACCCGGTCTGGTGGGATGATGGACGTGTTGGGAAGACCAGGAAAATGAAAACGCAGTCTGGTCAAATGCATATTCAAAGGCATTTTGACACAGAGTGATCGCAGTATGTGAGAATATGTAATTGCAAAGCGGAGAGGTGCTGTTTCCCATTTAAATTTGAATTTTGACACTTTTCCGGCTTGGTGGTGTCTTTGATAATACAGTTTCAAAAACCTTATTAGACAGTGCAAATGCATATACGATAAATTGTATTTTAATTATCATTTTGACACCATTGTTGCATAATCACATAACGCATGAATATGTAGTTCTGGAACTATATTTAACTTTAAATGAAGCTACTCATAAAGCATCCAAATCTCTGTGTAAATGAAATGTCAATACTAGTGCACCAAATGGCAAATATAAATGGAATTATTGAATTTGAATTTTCACTTTGAGCCCAAACTTGTATGTATGAGTGGACAATTTAAATTCAAACTTAAGGTTACACTGCCATTTTGCATATTACATTTTTATTTGAATTTTGAAACTGATATGCTTCCATAGAAAAAGCGCTTTATCCCTTATACATTGCCAGAGTATTTGCTGATGCGTTAAAAACAGTTTTAAGAGAGTATTATAGTAGTCTGGGTACTTGCACAGAAGCTGCACTAGTTAGCAGTGTGGTGAGTAAGTGAATGTAATGTACAGATTGGCCGTATATAAAAGATTTGTGCCATTGCAGAAGGCTGTTTAATTAGTCATTGCATTCCTCTTGCATTGCCTGTATCGCTGTATGGAACAATGAGTGGCTGCTGTATCTTTTATAATATCAGTCGTCTATTGTATACATCCTACGGAGTCTAGTTTCACTGGCATGCTTACCTGTTGAAACTGGACTGGACTGGATATCATAATGTTTGATTTAGCTGACTTTGGTATGTACACGTTGTAAGTTCCTGTCTACACCTGTGGTGTGCATTATGTGCAATCTGTTCAGTCCCACTTCCAATGAGATGTTTCACTGTGTGGGTTACTACTGCATATGAAGTCTTTATTGTTCCTGCTAAAGAGGTTTAACATTTTAAATTTATTCTGATGCTGCAACCTGATGAACTAATGTCATAATTTGGTAACCTCAGTATTATGAAATATCTTTTCCATATTCAAACATTATCTGTTTACCTTAAGCTTGTGAACATCACATAGTACGGGGTAAGACAACCCAACAAACCAGACCTCTACTCTATAATCACTACACCCAGTGTAAACACTACTCTCAGTGCACTCAGCCATATACACTTACAGTTAAAGTGAAAATACAGTCAGAATGTTGGGGGGGAAAGAACAAAAGACATATTCAGACGTAGAAAAATAAAGATTAGGCTTGAGTAAAAGTAATGGAAATGTAGAGTGGAGCACTGTCCAGGTTTACTTGAATGTAAGTGTATTTAATTCTTGGAACTAAGCTTTGCGCACAACTACACGCAATACTCACTACTTACAAATGATCTGCTCGTTTCATTTCCATACGGCCTCTCTCATTCATGCAAGGTCTAATTCATCTGAATTGTTATTACCCATTTTGCCTGTGCCCTTTTATGTTCATCAGTTGTTACTGTTTTGAAAATAGAAATTTGTCCTACAGGAAGATTTTGGGCTGTATTGTTTAAGGATTATGTCCCTAACTGAATTGTGACATTTCCAGATGGTGGTGATCTCTTAATGTTTGCTTCATCCAACTTCCCATTAACCGCAAATCAGTTTGGTGTACTTCTGTCATGGGCGCTAGCACTACAGCAATAATTTTGACATCTTGTTTCAACCGTCATTGAACAACTGACAATTCCTGGGTGCTGTAAAATGCCAATAGCATATTAAAGTGCAAGTAGCTACTTGTAGATCAAAACCTGATTCGATTAGTGGGAAATTGTTTAGAAATGTCTGTCTGCACTCGTTTCTGTCCAGTTTCTCTATCCTCAGAGGCTTACTGTATTTTGAGCATGGCTAACTTTATAAAGGAGTTCTCTGGATGTAAGCATTTATAATGGAATAGTCAAAATATTGTTCCAGATTTTTTTCACAGTCTTAAGAACCTATGGAAAAATGTTCTTATCAATAGATGCTAGCTTATGAAGTTTTGCACACTACCTGAACAAGTAAGGGTTATAATGGAATGTTCACTTTGGATTTTGCCAGACGCTTTAACAGTGTTTTAATGAAACAATTCAAGAGACTCAGCTTTACCGTTTAATTGAAATGATCTGTCAGATTAGTCATTACATATTCAGTGGCTTTAGGGATGTATTATTTTTGAAGCTAAAGTAAAATCCAGCTTTCTTACAGGTACACAGCGTCTGTCTATATAATATTCCTAGTATGTGAAAGCAGAATCAGGTCTTGCTGATCCATGATCAGCGCTTTTAATTTAGAGGTGTTTAATACATGTATACAGACATTCAGTTGCGTTCACAGTTGGACACCCAGGAAGCATGCTGGTGTTGCCAGGAGCCACCAAATCTCGACACAACGTATGGCGATGCTTGTGAGGCAAATACTGTTACTGAAATGTTCTGTGATTGCGTACCACCAGTTTCTTTTCGTGTTGGTTTACCTTTGCATTTCTTTCTTTATGTACATCTACAGTAACATTTTTGTTCATTTTCAGCCCCAGCATGGGGGATGTACCTCAGTGTAAAGAGGTTTTTACTCTGAGATAATAAAAATAAACAGTTGTCCTTTATTATCTGTTCTTATGGTGATTTGAGCTTCTTCAGAGTAACTCACACTTTGCATGGTCTTCATTGAATTAATATGAAAGTGGGTATTGGGATTTTTAAAGGGCCCATATCATGGAAAATAATAGTTTTCCTTGCTTTTAAAAAAAAAAAAATTGGATGTAGTATGTAATAGAGGTGCATGATCTCAATCAGCCAAAATTGAAATCGACAGATTTTGGTTCTAGACGTCAGCCAGTTTATTATTTATGCTGGTCTGTATTGCTTTTCAGTGAAGATAAGTGCACCCACTTCATATCTGAATGCAACCCATTGTGCAGAATGTCCAGTTGACACTCTCTTTATTTGATTTCATGGCATTTAAACACAGTGAATTTTTCGTTTCACAGTTTACTGTGCCAGTTTGTCATTTGATTTGGTCATCCCATAACCCTCCATTTCTTTCTTTTGAGCCATTCCTTGGTGAATTCATAGTTGATTGTATGATCGCACGTTTGTCAGGCCCTGAGGCAGCAAAGGAGCCCCAAAGCATAACATTCTCATCCCCATGCTTCACAGTTGGTATGGGGTTCTTTTGAAAGACATCAAATGCTGTCTTTCAGTTTTGCCAAATATGCTTCTGGTACTGTGGCCAAACAACTCTGTCTTTGACTCGTCTGTCCATGAAGTCCTGGTCCTTCCCAAGATATTAACTAACAAACCCTAGTCTTGCCTGATGTCCTTATTGGACAGAAAGGACTCCCTCCTGGCACACCTCCCATATAGGTCAAATTTATGCAATAACTTTCTAATTTGACATCAGGAAGGGCAAGGGCTTCCTTCAGATCCTGTGATGAAAGTTTGGGCCTCTTAGAGACTTCCTCAGCATTCTTACGTTCTACCCTCGGGTTAAATTTGCCGGGGGTAGCCTGGCCTGGACAGGTTGGTAGTGGTTTTATATCTTTTCCACTTGTAGATGATTTTCTGGACAGTGGAATGATTGATTTCTAATATTTTGGAAACAACCTTCTTTCTGAAGGCCTCATAGAGGCCCTCAAAGAGCATACCACATATCTGAATAAGTCAGGTTCCTCCAAGATGTTCTGTAACAGTGTTCTGATCATAAGCACCTGCTTGGGTGCATCTGATTTCAATCTCATATATCTAATATCTAAAGTGATGATTTTTGTAGAGGTACTTTGTCCACATAATAAAATTGCATTTCTGTTCATTTTAATTATATAAAAGGTAAAAAAAAGTATCATTGGTTAAATGATATCACCTTTTATCAACATTGTTTAAAAGAAGACTGTATATCTGTCCAAACGTGTGGAAAGTCTAACTTTCTTATGACATTTACCTATTTCTTCACATGAATCTAATTTCACACACACGCGCTTTATCTGGTCCATTTATGGAAATTAAGCTGCAAATTTAATTGGTTATATTTGTAACGTCACAAAAACCAAGACATTGATTTACATCCACCACATAAATATCATAAGTGGACGTTTGGTGGGGGGATAAATTACAAGAAAGATGTAGGATCTGGTTTAATAGTATTAATTAGAGAACAGATGATTAGTTAAAGTGAGTAGTGTCCAAACTTTCTGCAGGTAATGAACCGATGCTGCAGCGTGTTGCGGCGCAGAAGTATGGTGGTAGTAGTTTTACATCATGTAGCACGTGTCAGAAGAGTTCCGTGATTGTGTCGTGGTGGGAGGGGCCACATATGGAGGTCCGCCATTGGCGCTGCTGCTTCCTGCTGCCTCCCACTGAAGCTGCGGTGCCCTTTTTCCTCCGAATGATTTCAGTGAAATAAGCGTGACTGGGCAGCAGCTCTGAGCGTGCAGGACCACGGACATCTCTTCATCACCATGGGGCTAACCAACGATCCCAACTACAAAAAGCTGGAGCAATGGTACAAATCAAACGCTGGAGGTTTGAACATCAGGCAGATGTTCGACGCGGACAAGGAGAGATTCTCCAAATTCAGGTAAATCCCGGAGCTTCAGCAGCGCTCGAGAATGACCTGTATCTGAGACACTGGTGCAAAGGTGGAGGCAAGGCTAGGACGGTGTTTGTGATATTTAGGGAGTCCAGATCGACTCATTTAGTCTGCTTCAGCGTCAGTTGGCTAGGTTAGTAACATCAGTTGGATTGCGAGGTTATTACAGCAACACGACCACTTGTAGCGATGTCCTATTGCCCTGAGCCGATAAAGCTGCTGGTTCTGCCCTTGATTGTTGTCCCTTATCTACCTGTGGCTCTTATGAAGAGACCCCATGTCTGAGTCCTAGCTTACCTCTGTTTGTTTTCGGTGTTTGACAGGGCCTCCTATCAAGCCTTAGCGGATGCTAAGCTAGGAAGGCAGGAACTAGCTGTGTGTTGTGTTGCGCTGGATACAAGGTCACCGATCATCGACTGGCCGTGGAGGCCTGGCTGGGCTTTTGAAATGGGTTGATGATTAGATATCTATGATAAAGCACTTGCGCAATCGCAAATAGGCCTTAGCCAGTCTTAATACACGCGTTTCAGGCCAATTCCCTAAAAAACCGTCTCAGCTAAGACTAGACTGAAACTAGCGTCATGTTCGAATTTCCCCGTTCCACCTTAAATGGTGCGGCAGTTACATTCTGGCGCCTGCTGCACCATTTAAGGTGGAACGGGGAAATTTCGAATAGGACACCAGCTTTAGCCTCGTCTTAGCTAGAAAATCTGACTAGCCCAGAAATACGTGATGAGGTTAGTTGCGCCTGTGTCGTTGGCTTATCTTAGAAGGATCATCCTCTAATGGCTGTACTGATGTAAAGAAACCGTACTGGGTCCCGGAGCGCGCAGGCGTCTCAGCGCTGTCTGCAGTAAAGCTACGTGATGACCTGCACACGCGCTCCCAGTGCTCAGCTATGGGGCTGATGTCAGTGAGGTAGCTGGTAAAGCCCCAACCTATATACCACCTAATCCTGTTCGTGTCTTAGAGTAACGGCTCCGAGTGATTTACATCAGGCTCTGTCCACTCCACCTGAATGAATGATGTCCGTCATGTGGAGTTTAACAAAATGTGTGTTACTAAAGCCTCAGTCTTTAGTCTGCTATGAAGCCCACGTGTTTTGTATTATTATTATTATTATTATTATTATTATTATTATTATCATTATTTTTTTTTTACAGTGTGACCCTTGAGACAGATGATGGGGACGTTCTTCTGGATTATTCAAAGAATCTCATCAATGAAGAAGTTATGAAGATGCTGTTTGACTTGGTACAGTCCAAAGCTTCTATATAGAACCATAGACAAGACATTCTCCGTCAATCTGAAGAACAATTTCACCATGCAAAGAACTATTTAAGCGTGTAATGGTTCTATATAAAACTCATAACCATTCCATTTACTAAAGAACCCTTGAAGAAATATCTTCTAAGAGTGAGGACATGCAGGCTCGTCATACTCTAAGCTGGTGGAAGGAACTCATGCTGCCACATACTGGACATTAAGACAAAGGGCTGAATGATTTAAGGAAAAAAAAATCTTAATAGTTTTTATACCAACCTTGTGATTGCAAGTATTTTCTATAAATTAGGTGTTTTTTGTTTTTTTTTGTCAGGCTTGATGCTCCATTGCTGAATGTAGTATGCCAGACGCCCATTTCTCAAGCATTTATTAGGTTAAATTTCCCCATTTAAAGCTTGTTAAGATAATATTGAGCAATGTAAGACCTAATTAAAATTGCAGCCCTTATGATTTGGAAATTGCACTCCTTCAAATTGCAGTTTTGATAGAAAAACAATTGTTCAGCCCTAATACAGACTATACAAAGCAGTCAGATTTTTACATGGTTACATTGCATTATCTTGAAGATAAGAGCCCTGAGGCTTGTTTTGGAGTTGAAGGATGGGAAATGCAGGTGTTCGCTATCAACTAATGGTCATGGTCACCTATTTAATCTGCACCATGCACACCATTCAGAGCTATCTTTATTCCTCTACACATACACTCCCAAATATTACTGGATACATTATATAGCTTTACCATTTCTATAGGATATCATAACATCTAGTTTAACTTGCTTATTGTGACACGTGGATCAACTCTGTTTGCACAAGCACAGCACACCACAGGTGTGGATCTTGCCTAGTCATCATGATTTCCCCAAAAGGTAGTCCTCAATCTAAAACCCTCACTTGGTGTTGCCTAATTTATCACACATGATTCATTTTATCCAGTAATTATGAAGCCTGTCTTGAGTTTAGTCATAAAGCATGAAAATGCAAAAATGTGCAGGCCATTGTGTCTGCAATGGATTAAAATTGGAAACCGCGGATATATCTACTGAAATTACACTTCATTTTACTCGCCCGAATAGAGTAAGAAAATAATATCTTCCCAAAAAACAATAAGGCCATCTGTTTTAAATAGTGAAATAATGTGTTTCCAGCTGTCATCTCCTCTTAGCCTACTTTCACGTACAATGTATCGATATGTAATAATAATGTTAGCTTTGTTTTTCTCCTTGGAATGCCTAGGCAAGGTCAATCGGAGTGGAAGCAGCCAGGGATCAGATGTTTGCTGGTGAGAAGATCAACTTCACTGAGGTACTGGCAAAGATTTGGCTTAGTTGCTCAGCCTACCATGAACATAGATAGCTTGAATCCTTGTTAATCCTCAGATGTTATGCAAACGCTAAAATACTAATCTTCCTTAACACCCTGTTCTTCATAGATTGTAAAGCACTCTGATTTTTATACCAGTCCTTGGGGTCCCCCAGATAGTCCATATTTTTGATCTAACCCAACTTCCAACATGCCTGAATCAAGCCATTATGAACAGTCAATGCCTGTTTCAGGTTTGTTATGAGCTGATTTAGAACAAAATGTGGCTGTCTGGGAAAACCCCCAAGGACTGGTTTAAAGACCATTAGTATAAGACATCATTAAACATCTTTAATCTGGATTCACATGTTACTTGCCAGATACAGTAATTGTCTAACCTCAACATACTCAATTGTTGTCTGCAAAGTGTTTCACG